TTTTTTAAATAATTTTATTTAAATAGTAATTACATTATTTCATTGATGTGAACAGTTTATTCGTGAGTTGGATGTTGTTCAAACGATAAAGAAAACAGATGTTCAAGATGAACATCTGTTCATGTAAGAGGGATGGTGGGTTTGGAAATATTGTATCGTATTTCAGTGTAATTTACATTAGAGATTTCATGTCACAAGTCATAACTTTCATTATTATTTGTGTAATTTCTTAATCAACTTGACGAACTACGTTCCAATCACTGGTTCATGGTAAAAAATAGTTTGAATAACTCTAAGAGTAGTTTAAAACGGATTCATTTAGTGAGGATTACACTGTACTGTTGGGGACGTCAGATCCCTAGAACTCACTTGGAAATGATCCTAATTTACAAGTTATTTCTGAAATTTTGAATTTATGTTTTCGCGCCAGTTGACCTACAGTTTACGTTTCCTACTCGCAAAAGTTTTGACCGTCATTGATTGATGGATTATTTTAGTACGCTATTTTGTGGCTCTCACCAAGGGCGTTTCTATTATTGTATAAATAAGCTTGATTTGTGTGCTTAGCCACCTCGCATTTTCTGTGTGCTTGTAGAATACACTGTGTACGCCTTATCAAGACTTCTAGTTAAGAAGGCCTGGGGCAGCAGATTAGAATAGCCTATCTATCGTGCAACACTTACATACATACAGTACTTATCCACTAAATGAGCGGGAAAAAATGCCGACTGTAGAATGCAACATACTTAAACATTGAAATATGACAAATAGCCGCAGGCTTAGGAAAAGAAATTTGTAAGTAGTATGAGTAAAAGTGATAATATACACTGGTGACCTTGAGCGACCTATCAGCCAAACAAGAAAAGAAGGTTGCTTAGTTATAAAAACAATGAACAATGAAAAACACATAAAATAACAGTAGAATAATAATAATAATAACTGTGATCTGAACAATTAATCGTCACATGTCAACAAAGTATTCCGTGTAGTAAAAGAAAAAGGTTAAGTTTATCTATTAGAAGTTAGGCTAGTCTTAAGCAAAACATGGTCACTATGAAGCGAGGATATTTGTAGGTTAACTGGTATTCGATCATCGATGTCTCCAAAGCATTGCTCATCTATACTTGAACAATCAAGGAAGCAATGTAGTTGTTAGGAAAAGTGTACTAGACAAGGATGGCAGGTCAGTAGATGGAGCAGTGAATCTTTACCAGTTGAAGTGGTTGAGACATGTGTTTCGTATGCCCAACCACTGACTACCTGGACGAACGATGTTTTGTGATGCAGGGGTAGGCTGTGAGAAAACTAGAGGTGGCCCAGTCAAAACATGGCATAAATCCATGAAGTCACCGACAAATGAATTGAATCATGTTGGTCGATGTAAGCTACGTGGTTGGTGTCCGTAAGACAATCGTAACCGATGGTTAGAGACTGAATGAAATGGCTCAAAACCGTTTGTAATGGCGCAGGTGCATCCACTCTTTGTGTTCTCCCAAATTCTAATCTGAATTCTTCATGACTTTCATCTTTCTCATCGACATATTTGCACACGCGATATGGCTCAAAATCATTCGCAATGGCGCAGATGCATCCACTCATTGTATTCTCTCAAATCCTAAACTTCTGAATTCCTCATCATCTCTATCTTTCGCTTTGTAAATTTATTTCCCTGAATTATACTTCTCGAATCATATCTTCGAACCCTAATCTTCTCCGTTACCGCTAATACTTCTACTATCTCTACCACTATGAGATTTGAACTGACAGTTGAATCTCTGTGCTGACGCAGTATGGCAATCTGAACTTCTGTACGTGCATACGAAGTTGTACGTTGTAACTGACTAACTGACTGACACACACACACACACACTCACTACAAATGTCTTAATGTTAGCTAGCTAGTTGCAGAAAATCTGAAAACTGTTAGAAATGAATATGATATTTTATTAATGTTGAAAACTATTTCCCAAAAAAATATATATGAATAATGTTTTACAATAATTCTGTTAGAAAAATAAATAAAATAAATGAACAAGTACATGTGATTTTTAATTAAGAATGAAGATAGCCTACAATTTTCTGTATTGATAAACATACCGTTAAAGGAAGAATAAATCTCGTAAACAGAAATAATATGAATTCACACTGTATTTTTGGTGGCTTGTATTCAGTTGTTTAACACCCTGAATTCATAGTAGCAGTAGTGGTATTAGTCATGAGGGAAAAAAAGTAGAAACAAGTATGCATACTTTATATAACAGTTCTATATACATGTATATGGAGGAAATTCCACATGTGAAAATATAGAGATCGAAATAAGGGAACATAATAAGAAGAAAAATTAGTTTTTTTTTGAAATCATGAATTAACCATTGTTAGACAACCATTAGAAAAGAATTGGAAGTACTGAAAGAAAGGCCGTTTCGTCCTAGTATGGGACTCATCAATGGTAGTACGTATCCATGATTCCTGCTACTCGCAGGATTCAAACCCAGGATCTTTGGACTTACACGTGAATGCTTAACCTCTGGACCAATGAGCTGCCATCTTAGCAATAAACGTGCAGGTGATCAAAATCTCGATATGAATTCGAAAAGGCTTGTCTGGTTTGATTAACTCGCTCCACTTTTCGAGTAAGTGAAACATCTATCTTAATTTTTAAGGGATGAATACACATGTTTAACCTTGTTCGCGAAATATAGCCTTTCAGACCAGGGAAAATGTTCAGATTACTATTAACTGATAATAGACCTTTTCGAAAGATCATTGATGTATGGTAAAATAATCGACTGATTAATACTTTTTAGAATTGGAATACTAACCCCCAAAGATGACAAATAAGTTGATGAGGCTGTAGATTTTTACCAAATGAGATGATCGGTAGGAGTTTACCTGTCCGAATGATATAAAAGGTTGAAAGAAAGCTAAGTGAACCCAAATCAAAATGTTGAATTAGCTCGAATATATTAGTCTAAGACGTATTGGTGATTACCGATTACCTGGTTAGCATCCACGTGATCCTCGATTGGCGAAACTGTGAGACATGATTCAGAACCGGTAGCGATAGTGAAGGTTAATTCAACCGTTGGTTGGAATTGCGTATTATGTGATCTACCATAGTAGTCTAATAACTCAGTGAATTATCGAACTATTTAATCTCGTATGCATTACCTTAGTTATACTTAGTCATTTGCACTAACAATAACATCGCTATCATCTCCACTCCTTTATGATTCATATTACCTCGGCAGAAATTCTAGAAATCAAAATTTTGAGACCTTTAAAAAGCACTGAATTCGGCGGAAAATTGTCTTCTAATCATTATAATTCTGTAAAGAACAAACTACCACTTCGAACATCGAATGGAAGAGGTTACGTTAGTCATAAAAAGAGAGTTCTTTCGAAGTGCACCTCCAAACATTATCCTACTTCGATATATATGCAGGACCATGAAAATCACTCAGTAGTTCAATCCTGGGAACATCTAGTTAATCTATTTGCCAGAATCCTTCTTTAAAATTATTCAGTTACAAGAATCGATCGCAAAGGCATATAGATGAAAAACTTGTGCACAGTAAACTTCATAGCTACCCACTAATTAGAAGTCTAATCTGTGCATACAATACCAGTATGTCTAATCGCTTATTTTATCATGGTTTTAACTCGGAACTATTCTTTTCTTTAGGTTGTTTGGATCTCCTCACTGATGTTCAGAGAACTGCAATTGATCATTGGTTTGGCGAACCTCTTACTTACTTATGCCTGCTAACCCCAAAGAAGCATAGTCTATCAAGCAGTATTCCACAACCTACTCTGTCCTAAGCTTCCCTTTTGAGTTCTGTCAAATTTTGTCCATTCTTCCCACGTTGGTCTCCATCTCTCGGCGCGATGTGTTCCTTGGTCTTCCTGTTTTCCCTTGACCTTGAGGGTTCTAAATGAGGACTAACCAGTAAAATAGCCAGCATCTAACTCTGCTTCTATTGCTAATGACAATATGGAAACAATCCACACAGAATGTGAATAGATCAAAAATAAAAACTGATCAATTGCAGCCGTCAACATCAATGAGAAGATTCAAGCAACCAGTAAAATTGAATCAAACTTTATCCGCTTGCACAAGCCAAAGACTATTTAGATTTAGCGCGCGTTAGGAGTTTGACTCCAGTGGTACCGAGTTCAAGTCCAAGAATGAAGAACAATTATTCTGGAAAGGTAGGGGCAGGTGCATATCCATCCTAACTAGGATGAAAAAACGATCATCCTAGAATCCGTCGCTAATCACCGTATCTAACTGTTTTTGAATTTATTCGATTCCTTACACTTTAATTAAGCTGACAATTGACAAAATCACATGTCTGTTAACAATTTGATCTCATGTGTTGGTACGGGTATGAGGGCGGATATCACTTCCCGGCTGTCCACACCGTGTAAGGGTATTTCTTGAGGGACCTGAAAGGGAAGGTAGATTAGTGTCCGTCTTAGAGACCTGAGAGTGTGACCGCAGAGCCCAAGGGACAACTGCTTCAGGCCAGCCACGCACGGCCTTTTTATGGGTAGTATTTAAAGTGTTAGTTCCGTTCTTGTTTAAAAGGCCTTACAGCCAGACACAGAAATCCGTGAGGTAAGGTGAGGTGTAACATTTTTACGGTCAACATTTTCTAACCCCTTCCTTCCTTGTAAGAAGTCAACATCGCTGCAGATGCTGGTTGTCCGAGAGAAACACCTTACTGCTGTCACACCTCTCTACAGTCAGCAGTACGACTTCACCCTCACACCTTGAGTAGCTGTTTTTAGTCTCATCGTTCTCCAATCGACCTGCCTAGCACGGTAAAACCTATAGGAACATATGTCGCAGCCAATATAGCTCGATTGGGTCATGAGGATAGGAAAGCTCGACCACCACGTCAAGATAACAGCTACAATTCATGACACCATTCTGTCCGAGCATACATAGACAAAACTATCACAATTTTTAGCCAGTAAATCAAACAAAAAAGAAATTTTCATTGTTTTACAATTGACTCTATTTATTTATGAATCTGGGAAATAATAATGTCATGTCATGTAGAAAAAAGACAGAAATGAAAGAAGGCAAATTGACTGAAAGCACACACACACACAGAGGCAAACCAAAAGTAACAAAGTAAATTAATACATTACACTGGGTAAATTATGCATACACACACACACACACGCTAGGAGGCCATGGGGCGGCGAGATGAAATGTTCTGATATCGATGTCGAAATCTTGAAAGAATAATAATTGCACAACAATAATAATAATAATAATAACAACAATGATAATAAAAGTAAATGATAATAATAACAGTAAATACAATAAACCACAATGTTTATCGATGAAAATAGACGAACATTGGGATTTTCATTATGAACAAGGTTATAATAGATTACATCGATCCGATTGTGATTTAATATTTCGAAGACGTTTTTTTGGATGGAAATTTTTCAAATATTGAACTTGACGAGCATTTAAAGCTCCATTTCTTTGTCTGTAATGAAAGAAAATAAGTTAAGTGTGGTCAGAGTAAACGAAAAAAAACCATTTATATCTAGGTAACATTGATAAACTTAAGGAAGATTCGCTGCTTTCGGCTGGTGTTCGGTCATATATGCAATAGAGAATCTGGTACATAAAGGTATCAGTTTAAGTTGTCATACACTATTTAAGACAATGAAATGAGTTCGTCAGCATGGTAGTAGAGGTAGTTAGTAGTGGTTAGTGGAAATAGAGAAAAGAGTAAGGATGCCCTCTACACCGTTGAGAACGATTTCGATTTAAGTCATACAAAGTCTTTAACAACTGGTCACGATAATCACTCGGATCCTAGGAAACAGGTGGTCTGCACCAACCTACAGTTGATGTAATGAACACAGAGAAAATCTGATCAATCGGAATATATTTAAATACTGGTGTGAATGACTGTAGACAAGTGGACTGATTCTCGAGTATAATTTCTTTTTATTGGTTTCATTTAGGTACATATATTTACAATTGATTGACCACTGAGTAGTAGTGATCGATTTGATTTTTATCAAGTCCTTTTTTTATAGTGATAACGGGATTCAACAGATGAAGTTTCAATGTAGTTACAGACTAGACTGTATGACTCGAAATCGCGTACATTATTATGTTGGGGGGGGGGGTGTAAGTTCATGGTATTTGAAGGTAGCCCCACTAATCTGAGTGAGGTGGTTGGCACATATGTTACATATGCCAAACCACAAACTGCCTTGACGAGCTGTGTTTTGTGGTGTAGGAGGAGGTTGGAAGAAAGCTATAAGGGGCCAAACCAAAACATGGCACAAATCCATGAAGTCACTGACAAGTGGATTGAGTCATGCTGGCACATGTAGGTTACTTCATTGGGGTCCTCGAGACAAAGTAACCGATGGTCAGAGACCTTGAACGACATGGCCCAAAGTCATTTGCAATGGCGCAAGTGCATCCACTTTTTTTGTTCCCTCAAATCCTAACCTCGGAGTTCCTCATCATCTCTCTCTTTCTAAATTTATCTCACTGAATTATACTTTTTGAAAAATATCTTCGAACCCTAATCTTCTCCATTACCATTATTATGTCTGCTACCTCAACCACTATGGGATTTCAGCTGACAGTTGCGTCTCTGTGCTTATGTGCTATGGCAACCTGAACTGATGTACGTACGTACGTACGTATGAAGTTCTACGTTGTAACAGTCTGACTGACATTTACAATCCCATTCTTTTTTATATGACCCTAACCGTGGCTGCTGACTTGATTTGACAGTCAGACTTAAGCATAGCTGTGACCCAACTAATTAATCTATATTAGATGAAACATAGACTTCTTTCACCATGCAAAGCACGTTGCTTGGAGGGCGATAAAGAGAGTGAAGTCATACTGCCGACTGAAATGGCAATGATAGTGAAGCAATGAGGCGTTTTCTCTTAGAAAACGATGCCACCACCACAATGAATAGAGTTAGAAAAGAGTAACTTGAAAAGAACAACACCTCACCTTGTACCATGGATCTTTATCGCCGGTAGTAAGACTTTAAAACTACAGAGCTAACCTACTTAAGATCACTCACAAAAAGGCTGCGCTTGATTTATCTCAAGTAGTTCTCGTTTTGGCACTGATGTCACGACCACAGGTTTTGGTAACCAACTCTAAATCAGTTTAGCATACACACCAAAACAATGTTAAACTGATAATTTAATAAGCGAAAATAAATACTGTGTAATAAATGCAAGAAATTTTTCAATATTTAAAATCATTCACTTACTCACGAATCATTTCAACTGCTTCATCGTACGGCAAGCCAAGTTCAATTAAAGCAGCAGCAACTAGTGCAGGAGCTCTGAAAAAATAAAACCATCATACTATGTGTAGTTGAAATGTAAAGTTATAACAAAAATGTGGCATCAAAGTAATCCATTGTATTACTGTCAGTCAGTCAGTCAGCTACAATGTTGTTGGGGATGTTAGATCTCCAGAACTCGATTGATAAATATCTTTATTTTCGATTTATTTCATGGACCGATCAGTTGACCTTGAGATCACATTACCCACCAAGAAAATCGTTGCCTGTGATTGGATACTGTGTCATTTTAGTGTGCTATTTTTGTGACTGTCCCAAGGACGTCTCTGTAGAGTATAAATAAACGCAACTTGAGTGCTTGGTCTCATTGTGTGCTGGCTGGGTGTTTGTAGAATACACTTTCTACGCTATATCGAGACTTCTTGCTAGTACAATTGGGACAATCGGATCACAGTAGCCTACCTGGACGCTGGTTCATTGATTTGTTCTTGTTATTCGATTAAGGTGAACTCGTAATAGTTAAAGCATACTTCGTACTTACGTACATCAGTTCAAGTTGTCATACCACATTAGCACACAGAGATTCAAATCCCATGGCATTAGAGATAGTAAATGTATTACCGGTAATCAAAAAGGTTAATGATTGAAGATATCATTCGTGAAGCATATCTCAGAATCATTTTTAAAAATGAGAGAGAAAATTAACGATCATGAGGAATTCAGGAGATTAGAATTGGAGAGAACACAAAAAATGGATGCATTTGCGGCATTGCAAACGATTTTGAGTGATATCATTCAAGGTCTCTAACCACCAGTTACTATCATCTCGCGGACCCCAACCAGGTAGTCTACACCTACACTAACATGGTTCCGTTCATTTATCACTGACTTCATGGATTTATGCCATGTTTTGGTCTGGTCGCCTCTAACTTTCTTCCAACTTACCCCCTCTACATCAGGCACCATCGCTCGCTGAAGCAGTCTGTGGTTGGGTTATTGTGGCGAACTTGAGTACAACTTAGAAAACTACAACAGCTCTAGTAGTAAAAACAACAAGGCCTAATTTTATACAGGAAAAGATTGTCAGGGCAAAGATTTTGAACTCAGAGTTCAGATTTGAATCGGTGAATTGCCAACGCCTCAGAAGTGCAGTGCATCAACATCCCTTTTATTCTATTCTTTGTATCGTATTGATTGTTTTGTAGGCCCATTCCTTAGTGAGACAGAGTGCCCAGAGTTGATAAGGTGCTCTCTCTTGAGTTAAGCTAGACACTGTTCATGCTTCCCTCTTAAAAGCCATGTCGGATAACATTCTTAGGTGCTTTGTAAGAATATTCGTCAATATTTCAACAAATAATTTGACGAAAATAGGGCGCCCAGTATATATCGAAGATACTATTTGTGAAACCTGATCGTAGCTGCTACCTTGACGTGGTGGTCGGGCTTGACTATCGTGATGACCCAACCGAGCTAAACTGGTAGGAACATATGTTCCTGAAGGTTCTACCATGCCAGGCAGGTCGATTGGAGAACGATGAGAATAAAAGCAGCTACTCAAGGTCTGAGGGCGAAGTCGTACTGCTGACTGCAGAAGGGTGTGACAGCAGTAGGGTTTTTCTCTCGGACAACCAGCACCTGTAGCGATGCTGCCTTCTTATCACAAGGAAGGAAGGGTTAGAAACGGTCGACCGTAAAAATGTCACACCTCACCTTACCTCACGGATTTCCGTCTCCGGTGGTAAGGGCTGCCCAATAAGGGCTTTAAAAGAGCGGAGCTAATACTCAAAAAACCTTTAGTAAAAAGACCGTGTGTGACCGGCCTCAAGCAGTTGTCCCCTGGGCTCTGCCGTCACACTCCCAGGTCTCTAAGCCCGACACTAATCTACCTTCCTTTTCAGGTTCCTCAAGAAACACCATTCCACGGTGTGTGCAGCCGGGAAGTGATATCCGCCCTCATACCCGTAACAGCACACGAGATCAGATTGGTCACAATCGAATACCCTGACTGACTATTTTTGAAAATTGTATTGGGAAATGAATCTCAGCGATTGAATTTTTTTTTAGATAATTCCAACGTTTCATTCAGACAAGATTTTTAGATGAGTTTAGAAAGTAACCTGCCCTGTTCGAGCAAGAAAACTTATAGTTTCACATTGATCTGGCTTAAAGCAGAAGTTTATTTGTAACACATCCATGAATGGTAAGCCACACTGAGGACGAAAAATTATGAAACTTAGACTGAGTAGAAAGTTCTCCTGAGAGATTGTGAAATTTGTTTATTCAATAATTGTTTCCATGAAATAAGAGAAACATTTTACCAGAATACATGAAAATGAGTGTGTCTGACTTTTTGTATTAAGAGTTTTATGACAAATTATAATTGACGTCTGATATGCTCGTCAATTGATATACTTGAAACTATTACGAGTTCATCTTAGTCGGTAAACGAGAGCGAAGACAAACGATCCAATGACACGATAGGGGGAATCATTTAAATTACCCCGAGACGATCGATTTCATTCAAATTGTCTTTTGAATTATACACAGCCAAAAATTTTTATGACGATTTTTATTTAAAAAAACAGTTGAATAATAAGAAACCTTTTATCAGACCATATAAGTTTCCCTAAGCAAAAACAAAAAAAAACCAACCTGCCAAGTCCAGCTTTACAGTGTACAGCTATACAACTTCCAGGACCTTGTTGACATACATCTGTAATTAATTGGAACCATTTGTCAATAACTGGGTCTGGAGGCGGTGCACCATCATCATATTCAAGATCCTGTAAAATGTGGAAATGATGAATGCATTACTTTATTTTATTATTTATTTAGACAAAAACCAATTAACTTTGCTAGAACATATTCATAAAGTTAGTTTATTGCTATTTTTATGGAAATACAGTATTGAAAGAAATGTTAGTTCTTGAAAGGGAAATTCAATTATGTTATCATATCACAGTTAAGTTGACATTATGACGAATTTACATTCAGATATGATATCTACTTGTTTTTGGTTTGACCGACCACCTTGCAGAAGAATATTCAGTCGATAGGTAAATCTGACTACCATGTCAATACTCTAGAAGCCCTGGTCGAGTGTTAGAAGTTCAAAACACTGATCAATCAATATTGACAGTTATAGAGTTGTATAGACTGTTGAATATCATTGAAACCACGAAAACGATCAAAGCTAGAAAAAAGCCTTTGAAAACTTGGAGTACTGAATACTCGCTTTGCCCTAGTATGGGATTCCTCATACAGTTACTTACTTATGCCTGCTACCCTCAATCAAGCACAGAACGCCGACCAGTATACTCCAACCTATTTTGTCTTGCGCTTCCCTTTCTAGTGCTGTCCAATTTTTGTTCATTCTTCTCATGTCTGTCTTCATTTCTCGGCGGATATTTCGCCTACGCCATATAAAACGCAAGTTGGTGAAAGCCAATCGAGCCTTCTGTCCGTGCTGAGATTTTGGCATTCACCAGGCCATCAGGACTGATGAAACTCCTGCGTTAAGTGAAGCGGTAAATATTCACAACTATTTCACTCCCTATTACTAGGTTCACGCGCCTACGCAACCTAATCCTGAAGTAGCATTTTGCAATTCGGCGAGGAGAACCGCATTTCGAACAAGCTTATATTATTACTTAAGGTGATCAAAAGACTTTGCATTGACTGATAATGTGATATTTATTAATGTAAAATTCAATGTGATCTTTAAATGTACACAAAAGAGATAACGCTTGTAAATTTCTTTGAAAAATGTAAATCAACATTAGTTATTTATAGACATATCATAAGGATATTCTTATTGTAACTTACCACAACTTCAATTCCAGCAGCTTCAAGTGGTTCTTTATCATAAGTAGCTTTGCATACTCGAACCAATTTGCGTACATTGTGCAGTTTAAAAGCCTGAATGAAAAGCGTTAAAGAAAAATTAATCTGTTCTCGACAACTATGCACAAAAATGCAATTATTCGCTTAAGAAAATGAATGACACTATTTTAAAATCTGGAACTTGATTAGTGAAATACCAATTAATACACACACACACACAATCGAATGTACGTCGATCGAAAAACCGCCAAGTATAAAATTAGATTAATTTTCTAACCAAATGTCGAACCAAACTGCAATGAAACACTTGCCACCGGAAGTCTTTGTAAAACATAAAAACCACATACAATCTATAATTGGATAGGCATGTCCTGGTACGGTTGAGAGTCCGCTATTCTTCTAGCAATACCCTCATGCGGCAAATTCCTACTCACTGCTTTCTCTTAACACAATTGTTGTTTACGAAATTAAAAGGATGAAAAGCGAACCCTAACCAGGCTGATGGGAACGGACAATCCTATGGAACACATTGGTTCTAGGATGTGGACGAAACGAATCGTTGCCAGCTACCATGAAACTGCATCTCCTAATGTTGTTACACTACCACCTCACGGATTAAACCTATAAGTCAAAAACTCGGGAGGTAGCCACCTTAAGTAAAACCATCTGCCGCGGTTTGGGCACCCGGAAATTACCCCCTAGCCTACTCACAAATTCAATTATTGGTGGGCGCATAAATATTCAAGTGCCATTGTTTACACGTTCAATAAAAATAACTGGAAAAAAAACATAATTGCGGTTTTTTTAAAATTTAAACGTCAATCTAAATTTTATTCCTGTTTTTTGTTCTAATTAATCTTTGACCTGATTTTATCCAGAAAGTTGTAAATTAGGATACTAAGGTGTAAATTACAATGGAGAAAAAAAGAACAGAAATCAAGAGATTAATGAAATTATCCCGGTAAAATTAGGTCAAACAAGTGTATCGATTTCTTTTTCATCTTGGAATCAAATTTTATTTTTATGTAATTTATATGCTTTGTAGACTACTACTGCTAGTAGGTGATGCATTTTTTTTCCAGTTGTTACAATTCTTAGGGGTTTATGTATAGGATATCATTTATACGTTGTTAGTTATTAGTTAAACTGATTCCTCTGTGATTGTCACAAGAGGACTTTTGTCGATTTTTTTGCAGACTGGGACACAATCATTGATTGAGACCGGTTAGATGGGATTATGCCCAGTTCCCAGATTCTACCTAAGATCTCTCAGTCAAACTAACTGCTAAAATTGGACCAACAGGCTTAAAAATCTTAGGAGTTGGCCTGTCAGGACCCGCTGCTCTCGCTTATTTTGCATTTCCTATAGCTTTCTCAACTTCATAAAGAGTCAAAGGACTTACATCGATTTCCCATTCTGGTTGAATGAATAGTAACCGATGGTTAGAGACGTTGAATGACATGGCTCAAAATTGTTTGCCATGGCACAGGTGCATCCATTCTTTATGTTTTACCGGAGCCTATTCTCCTGAATTCTTTGATAACTTTATCTTGTAAGTTTATTTCGCTGGATTATACTCATTGAATAACATCTTCGAATACTCATCTTTACGATTACTACTCATACTTGTACTATTTCTACCACTATGGGAATTGACAATTGCATCTCTGTGCTTATTTGGTATGTCAACTTGAATGGAAATACGTACGAACGAAGTTCTACGTTGTTTCTGACTGACTGTGTTATTAAATACAGGTGGATGTATTCAATGTTGAGTTATATGTTCGGATACAGAATCTAGTGATGCTATACAGCGCTAGTCAAACCGAAGTAGATGAAGTAGGGTTCGAATCTACGGCCGAATAACTGAAAATCGAATTACCGTTCCATGTACTACTTCTGAGTAAAAGGTTAATATCAGCGCTTTCACTAAGCTGACATGTCTTAATTGTGTGTAAGGACCTAAAAAACTCAATGAAAACCTGAGACAAGTTATAAATTTCTGAATTCGTTAAATTGAATACAACATTTGAAAACATTACATGTACTATTTACAATATTTACTATGGTCTATCTGTTACAAAGGAAGCTTTCATCAAAGCACTCTACTTGAGATAAATTTCTACCTAAAACCAAGCACTTCAAGTGTAAGTTGTATCACATCTCGGTATAATTGTATTCTTCTTTCATTGTTCGCGTGACCGTACACAGCAGAAAAACCTAACATCCTATTAAAGTGATTAAATATTTCTACACTAAGATTGGTGAAGTTGTTGTATTATGTTTTATTGTAAAATAACTTCCTTGAGCCTCTCTATACAGAGGAGATTAAGGTGTTCTTATTGTTAACAGGATTATTGAAGATGTTGATAAGCTTCCTCAAATATGCCAGTAAGATAATTAGAATCTTGTCGCATCATGTTGTAAAACGTTTACGCCTAAATTATATTAGAAACCCGTTGGAAGGTAATCAGTCGCTTACAGGTGAAGTATATAGTTAAATTCAATACATTACCTCTTTGAAAGTCAACAACAAACTACTTTATAAGGTTACACTGCACTGAATCTTAAACAACAAAAACACGTAATGCAGATGAGTATTGGTTCAATTACTGTAAACACAGTGGTAACATGCAAATCAAGGATGTAACAATAAGAACGAATAGCTGCAAATTTTTAATAGATTATTTGGATTCATATACATAAATCAACAGCTAGCCAGTTCAATGGATTTGAACAACGTGATCTACACTTAGAACCGAGATCAAGCCAACCAATAAGAAAAAATTAATTTTATCTTGAAAATAGTGATTCAAAGCTACTTTTATTGACTTATTTATTCAAGCAAAATTATCGGTACAAATGGGGTACCAAATTATGTACGTGTAGGTCTGAGATACTGGTTGGATGTCCAAACCGAAGCAGGTGATCTACTTCGAGAGCCAATCCAAAAGCATTTGACTAAAAGGTCTAATCCGCAACGTGGTGGAGCAACGTTAGGAGATGCGTTCTTGCAGTAGCCAGTGATCAAGAGTAGGTTCATACGGCATTCGTTTCCTTAGGGTTTTAAGGCCCATTTACACCACTGGCTTGAAATCAAGGTTTCCCAACTACACTGCATGGATCATCTGTACCCACCAGCCCGGTTTAAGTGCCAGGAATTTGCTTAGGGTTACACAGAACTACAACGTACCATGACAAAATTTTCCATATTGTGTGCATTAGGTTCATCTGTGATCAAAAATCGAGCTGTCTTATATTCAACAAGTGTGACATGGGGCTGTTGTAGCTGACGTGAAAGCTTTGAGCCTCTAGGGTACGGCTGAAAACTACCACGACGAGTACCAGCGTTTGAAAGTCGGGGAACTCTGACAATGGAGCCCTGTTCATTGACTGGTGGATGGACTGACATGACTGAATATTTGTTTCAACTAAAAGATAAAAATGTGTGGAAATGGATTATCTACGAAATTATACAATGTGTAGTATAAAATTATCGCCTTATAACATAAAATTCGATATCCCAAATTGATATATCGGTAAAATGTTCAAATTTCTCCTAGCTTTACAAATATATAAACATTAAAGAAGTATTTACCGGGAAAAGTTGAATTCCCAAAGCTGTTCGGACAGATGGCTACTGCTAAGAAGGAAAATATAGCGCAAATCAATAGCATGTTTCCAAATGAAACGAAGCGTTTTTTTGTGTACATGCTGCTTACTTGAACGGTATCAATCAAACATTAATAACCCACTAGCTTTGAGTAGTTTTTAACCCTAAATCCTTCCGCCATCACACTTATCGTCATCCAATTACTCGAATGACTAGTTGCAATAAACTGTCCATCTAAAAACCTATGACGATAATAAGACGTCTAAATTTTAGACTTTATAAACCAGTGTGGGGTATACTAATTGCAACTTGGTAGGATGCAGTGAAGTCCCGCCTAAGACACGTGAATCTAGTTGTTTTGTAAACCAAAGTTTGAAGATAAGGTGTACACATTCTGGTAGTAAATTGTGACTTCTACATATAGAATACTTATTCCATCTAGTCTTAACACATTCGTCCATCATATCAGTACAAAACAAAATCTCGAAGCACAAAAATCTTTATTTTATTCAATCGATCTTCGAAACCCCATGGAGGTTTTAAACCAAATTAGTTGCACAGGCAGTAAAAGTGTTAGCAGTAATGAAGATCAGGGTTTGAAGAAATCAGTCAAGACGCATAATCCAGTAAAATAAACTTAAAAAAGGGAAACATACAGCGGATGAGGAATTCAGAAGATTAGAATTTAAGACAGACAAACAGATACAACGCAGAACTTCGTACGTAAGGACATCAGTTCAGGTTGCCATGCCCCATCAGCACAGAGATGCAACTGTCAGTTCAAATCGAAGAGTGAAAGCGATAGTAGAATTATTAGCAGCAATGGAGAAGGTTAAGGAGAGAAGATATGATTCGAAAAGTATAATTCAGTGAGATAACTTTAGAAGGAGAAAAGTAGAGATTATGAGGAATGCAGAAGCTTAGAATTTCATAGAACACAAAGAATGGATGCACCTGCATCATTGCAAATGATTCTGAGCCATGCAAATAACCTTATCCTCGTCTGAATTTTCAGGAGTAGCCTTCTACCAGGAGGCTCGCTTATCGACTTAGAATATGCCGATGACATAGTCCTACTTGCACGCTGACAAAATGCAGAGTCTTCTGACCACCCTGAGCAACAATGCAAGCATGTTCGGATGCGTTTTCCCCCTCGAAATGCGAAATGTTGCTTCAAGATTGGGTTTCATCGTCACCTTAAGTAGTGATGCGGAGTGAAGTAGTCGAACGTGTTGACGCTCCACTTATCTTGGAGTCTCATCAATGCTGATAGCCTGATGACTGACGAAATCTCAGCTCGGATAGAGAAAGCTCGATTGGCTTTTGCCAACCTGCGTCACTTATGGCGTAGGCGTGATATCCGTTCGCTAACTAAAGGACGGGTGTACTGTGCAGTGGTTCGTTCCGTCTTACTTTATGGTTGTGAAACAAGTCCAGTGAGAGTAGAACGTATTTGTAGGTTGCTTGTTTTCGATCATAGGTGTCTTTGAAGCATTGCTCGTATATCGTGGTACAGCCGATTAAGCAATGCTGTTATTAGGAAACGTGTGCGAAGTAAGTATGTCAAATCAATAGATGAAGTTATGAAACTTTATCAGTTGATATGGTTGGGACATGTGTTGCGTAGGCCTAACTACCGACTGTCACATCATCGGGTTGGAAGAAATTTAGGGTCGGCCAAACCAAAACATGGCACAAATCCATGAAGTCACTGACAAGTGAACTGATTCATGTCGGTAGATGTCGACTACTTGGTTGTGGTCCGCGGGACTAAAGTCACCGATAGTTAGAGACCTTGAACGAAATTACTCAAAATCATTTGTAATGACGCTGGTGCATTCATTCTTTGTGTTCTCTCAAATCACAGTCTTCTGGATCTGTCAATACCACTACCTTTGTCTTTCTAAATTAACCTCACTGATTTATTCTTCTTCAATAATATTTTGGAACCCTAATCGTCTCCTTTACCTGCAGTGATTCTACTATCTCTACCATTATGGGATTTAAATTGACGACTTTGTTTCTGTGCTAATCTGGTATGGCAACATCAACTGGTGTCTTTACGTACAAAGTTCTTCGTTACAGCTGACTGAAAGACTGCTATGTTGGCATTTAGTGAAATTTATACAGCAGTCAATTTGAAATATTTCAAGGCATTTAACCTGGTATGAGTAGTTTACTATGTATCGAAATTTGGTATCCTTATGGTGATTTCATCAAAATTCACTGGAAAAGAGCTGTAAACTGTCTGCTCTTCAGTATTAGCGTAAATGTTTCAAGATGATCGTTTTTATCTTGGAGGTCTATAGCTTTGGCAGAAGCTTCTTGCAAACCAGAAACAGAAATGTTAACATTCTACTTAGAAGGTCCTAGAAACCGGCTAATGTGATTTTTGGCCAAGTTTAACCTAGATGTTGAACAGTCAGTGAAGATAAATCACCCTAAATCTTCAATAAAATTGGTCAGTTTGGATCAGTAGAACTACTTTCACAACATGGACGTGTACAGTGGCCACAATGAAACCTGACTTATCTCTTCATGAACTTAACTTGTGTTCATATTCGTGGTTCTTGCTCGCTGACATTAAACTATCTAGCGTAATACATTTCTTAATTACACTGTTTTGTCACTAATTTTGTTTCTCCCTTATGAACAGTTAGCTCGATTGTTTTGAAAAATACTTTAGATGAATTTACTAGACATTACATTTCGAATGACAAACAGATTTAAGTCAGATTTTAACTCTATCCATGTGTTGTTTTTAGTGGTGTGAGATACCAGATTGTCTATGATCACCGCTAAATGTTCCATATTATCCCGTCATATATATCAAAATAAATCGATGGTTTAATATTTTATTGAAGGAGACAGTAGGCATTACATGGGGAGCAGCAAATTAAGAAAAACGGCAGCAACGCGAAGTGAACGTTGCGCGCAAGAAGTAGAAGTGTTTTTGGTGCAGTTAAACAAAACGAGTACAATATTGTTTATTTTTCATAAATCGTATTTTCTTTGTAGAAGCGTTCCACTACATGTTTATCATCGTTCACGGTACAGTTTTTATTCTTTTGAGTCTGTTAAGGTTACATGAAATTTTATCCGCACACAAAATGACAATCAGTTTAAAACTTTGCTATCTATACTTCCGCCTACAAAACACAAATAGTTCCTGCATTCTATGCAGGAGCGCTATTACGACAGCAATGGTTGGTGCATTATGAACACTCGGCATAATTGTCGATTACTGTACTTTTTACAACGTTCACACCAGTTACGAAAATTTATATGATTGTTCAGAGCTGATCGTATCGACGTGCTACTGATAAATCTTCAGTAGTATTTCCCAACTCAACAATTTCAGATAAATGGTAGATTAGGAGTACGTGAGCATTTGTTTGTTGTTGAGAAACTTTAAAGAAACATGTCGTTGTGATCCAATCTAGTCAATAATTTCCATAACAGGAATCCTTAAATACATTCAACAACACTAAATTTAGTCATTTCCCGGATGTTGATTAAATGAATAGACAGAATTTATCTCAACTACTTGTTACAGTTAGATGTTATGGAGAGACAGTTGAGAATGTGTAGTGTGTCGATTTACTGCGTGTTCTTAAGCTTCGTAATTAGCTCGTCTAGACAATCGTTACTAAATGGCGTCTGACGGTTATAAATCAGAAGGTGAACTCGTAGTGTTGAATACGTTTATTTGGGACACACCACAAAGCGAAGCGGAGAAGCAGCGAATAAAACGAAAGAAGCGACGTAAATTGAAGAAGGCTGTTGAGCCAACTCCCAGGATTACAATGCGAACGAATAGGCGAAGGAAGCGATGTGGAGAAGGCTAATGAGCCAACTCAAGAGATAGAGCGTGACTAAGAATATATGGTCAGACAAATATAATACAGACATGCAACAAGCGAAACAGGCAGACATGAATAAAAGCGACGAATAGTTGACAAGGTGAAATGACAAGTGGAACACGTCATATGAGCTCATACAAACCAACAATAATATGAACGAATGGTACATATAAATTGTTGCAATACAAATGGCTTGGATAAATAAATTAATCGAAAGGGTTTAACCAGATTAAATGTGAGCGAACTGGAATATACGTGGAGGCACTACAAACGAATTAGTACAAACCTCAAAATTCATCATAAAACGCATTTCCACAGTCTGTTATTCACATAATACTCAATAAAGATGAAAACCCTAATGGCGGAGTTTGTATTATTAAAATACCTAACACTTAACAACTGAGAATTTTAATTAACGATCGTCATACAATGTAGCGTATTTGAATATGCGCACGAATTCTAACCAGATAGGTTTATTTTCACTCGTTCTGATGCAGATGTCTAGATTCAGATCATGCCTTAGTGCAGGCGTGTATTTGTTCGCGACTTAATGGACGGAAGAACGACACCGAAGGAAACGGTAGAGCTATGAATATGTTTCAGGAGCAACTAGTAAAACAGTGGCTGTGAGACCAGATATTCACTCTGTCAGGTCCTGGAAAAAGACACACAATAGTAGGATTTCTTGACCTTAAAGCGGCGTTTGACTCATTCGATCCTGAGGTTCTATGTGAGTGACTGTCATTGAGAGGTGTACTAAAGAAGTATATTAACCTTATACAAGCTCTCTACTCGAACACCACTGGTCGAATGAGAGCTTATGAAGAACTTTCTTCGGAATTCTGTACTTCAAGTGGTGTCCATCAGGGCTGTCCACTCTCCCCATTCCTGTTTATCTTTGTCATATACATGCTTTTGGAGTTTACCTTATCGTTGTCTGAATTTTCAGTAGTGGACCTTCTACCTGGAGGCTCGCTCATTGACTTAGAATATGCCGATGAAATAGTTCTATTTGGTGGAGACGCTGACAAAATACAGAGTCTCCTGACTACCCTAAGCAACAATGCAAGCATACTCGGGATTCGGTTTTCCCTTTCGAAATGCTAAATGATGCTTGAAAAGTCTGGGTTGCATCCGCACCTGAACTAGTGATAGGGAGTGAAGTAATTGAGCGTGTTGACCGCTTCGCTTATCTGGGGAGTCTCATTAGTGCTGATGACCTGGTGACTGACGAAATCTCAGCTCGGATACAGAGAGCTCAATTGGCTTTTGCCCAGTTACTTCATTTTTGGCGTAGGCGAGATATTCGTTTGCTGACTAAAAGTCGAGTGTACTATGCAGGAGTTTGCTCCGTCTTACTATATGGATGTGAAACATGGACAATCAGAGTAGAAGATACTCGTAGGTTACTGGTTTTCGATCATAGGTGCCTCCGAAGCATTGCTCGTATATCGTGGGACACCCGAGTGAGCAACGCTGTCGTTAGGAAACGAGTACTAGGTAAGGATGTCAGATCAATAGATGAATTATTGAAACTTCATCAGTTGAAATGGTTGGAACATGTATTACTAATTCACGACCACCGACTCCCTAGTCGAACTGTTTTTTGGTGTACAGGTAGGTGTTGTAAGAAAGCTAGGTGCGGCCAAACCAAAACATGGCAGAAATCCATGAAGTGACTGAGTGACTTGAAAATTATCTTAGTACTAAATAAGAAGACTTTTTTCAAATATTGAACATATATTAATGATGATCATATTATGATATTTTTTCCTTTATACAAATAAATAAACTATTCACATGGCAATAAATCAAAAAAGAATATCGCGTAGATGAAGAATAGAACTGAACTACACATTCGAAATTGAGAAATCAAAAAGTCAGATAAAATATTGAATGATAGGATATGATCTCTTTGTCTACATAGTTTGACCTATTTTTTTTTTCTTCTTCTTCTTCATTAAAATCTATTGATGAGTGTGACTTTTGTTGTTATTGTTTTTTTCTTGTGTATATTTTTATTCATTTAGTATGATTAGAAGTTAAAGTGATATCATGTTCTCCTTGATAATTATACTGATGATCATCTGGTTCAACTTGAGTTGATAGTTTATTTTCTAAATTTTTAAGAGCATTTTGAACAGCTAATATCACTTCTCGACGTTTATTTCTAATGGACACATCACCAGCTGAATCAATTTTATCCAATCGTAACATTAACTTTTCAAGTTTATCTTCCAATAATAAATAGGCTTTATTTTTGCATGAAGCTATAGAGAAAAACAATGGTGTCATATGATTAATATGTGTGAAGTGTTGAATAAAAAAAAAATTCGCATGTACAAAATAACACATAGAAAATGATTCACTTGATTTCTTCACCATGACAATATAAACAAACAAACAAACAGATTTGCCTGGACAATAAGACTTAAAAGAGCAGTCAGTAACTACACAAATATAATTGGATGCATTCAAAGAACGAACCAACTTACTCGAATGTTCTTGTTGGGGATGTAAGCTCCCCAGAAATCACTTGGAAAAGGTCCTAATTTTGGATTTTTTGTGTTTTCGCGCACGGGCTGATCAGCTGACCTTCAGCTTACATTTCCCACTCGGAAAATCCTTGACTGTCATTGGTTGATGTACTATTTTAGTACCCTATTTCTGTGGTGCATAAACAAACTTGATTTGTGGGCTTGTCAACCTCATATTTCTAGGTGCTTGTAGAATACACTTTCTACACTTCAATCAAGACTTCTTAATATAGTTAGCTGGACCGGGGACAACGGATTAGAATAGGCTATTGTGTCATTGTATCATTTGTCTCTGCTCTCGTTTACCGACTAAGGTGGACACTCGTATTAGTTTCAAGCATGTCAGTAAATTTCACTCATTGCTTACACATATGCAGTGAAAGCAAGTAGTCGGAAAACAAATGTCCAGGAGGTATAAATAAAAACACCGAATGGACATTCATTATGTTGATCTACCTTACTTTGCTAGCCTTTTGTAACTGTTCTTCTCATCTTTCTCAATACATAATTCATAATGATTATGATATTGATTGTTATAAGCTTTGATCTATTTCCCGTATAAAGAAATTTACTCAGGTTATCACTCTTTAAATTATTCGTCTGATATCTCAGGTCCTCACTAGTGACTAAGCCCTTGGAGTTTTCTAATGAAAAAACCTATGAACAGTGAAATCGTCTTGTTGACGAGGAAACAGCTGTCCAGTGCTTCCCAAGTTCTTTCTTAATGTTGGTCCTAACTTATTTCTGTTCCATTATTTCAATGAAACTCAACAATCTCAACAACCTTTAAATGACTATTCATATATTATCCACTGACTAAACGAATCATCTTACTATCTGCTTGATTTGTGCCATTTACTGCTAACGATTAATTATGGTGGTGTTTTGTTCTCTGAGCTGGATAATTTGGTTGTGAAGCTTACATTGTTCTTCTGAACAACAACATCATCAGCACAAACTTCATCTAGAAGTGAAGTGTACAAAGGTGCAAACAACGACAGGTTTAAGGTCAACAACAACCAATCAAGATCGAGGTTAGCAGAACAAGCTGCAGGTCAAACGTGGAGAAATTCGAATGCTTCACTTCTATCTGAAGTTTGTGCTGATGATGTTATTCAGTGGAGGAACAATGAGAGCTTCACAACCAAAATATTCAGCTCAGAGAACGAAACATCACCACTAAATCATCTACCTGAGCTACAAATTTTCTCCACCATCTCAACGATTAGTTATGTAATCGCTTTACATGATTATTATTATTATTATTATCACTAACCCATAAAACTGTCTTGATTGGTTGAATATTTTTCACATATAATATATGCATAGAAATTATTGCAATAGTAAGTAAAGCCTAGTGAAAATAATATTTTACTCCTGTTGGTATATGTGTGTAGTTCTCGTTTAAAGCTATGGGATTTTGTTTAGTACATACAATATGTAAATATATATATATATATATATATATATAATACATCAAAAAAGGTTTCTTTTTAAACGTCAGTCAACTCACAAGTAAACTCGTTAATCTCATTTTCTATTTCGCTCAGTTCACGTTGAGCTTGTTCTATAAGAGTGAGTGGATCTGTCACTGTTGGTTGACATGCATTTTCATTTGTATTATTATTAACATTATTATTGTCATTATTATTATTATTATTGTTATTGTTATGAGTATCATTTGAAATTTTAACAGGTATTGATTTTACTGGGATCGATTGATTTTTATCTGTAGCAGCATTTGAACTGGTTTTTTTATGTGAATCAGATGATTGAGGCGTTGAAGCATTGTTCAATGGTGATTGTTCACATTCATATGAACTATCATTATCATCATCATGAGTAGTATTATTTGAAGCATTGGCACAGTGTACCTTGATAATAGTTTTTTTTGGTTAAAATAAAACAAAAGAAAACTATTAGCATAACACATACAACATTCTAATTATAACTTATGATCAATACAATCACAATCAAATGATCAATGATAGCCTAGATAACAAGAATAAAACATGTCACAACTTAAACAACTGCTTGTGTGTATCAGGCAAATAATACTTGAATTTCTAAATGAATAGTCGGCGTGTTAACTGATACGTACACGAACTCGTCAGTGAGGATATCGTCATCTACAGAGTGGCTCAATGAAACACATATTTTGATAAGTATTAGAACTACCCTACTACTCTTATTAGACACAGTCAATTTCACAGCCAAAAACATGGAGGTCTGATGATTCCGGTTGAAAATCATAAACACAACATGAGGATTTATAAATGGCGTCAAATCAATAATCGTTTAAAACAATTAATATGTATGTGGTAATAAAAGAGCACATCACTGGAAAAAACTGAATTTTCTGAATTAACAAATAAGAAACTTTTTCTGATTTTCTAGACGCACAAAGTTACAACGAAGAACTTCGTACGTAAGTACATCAGTTCAAGTTGCCATAGTGCGTCAGCACAGACGCAAATGTCAGTTTAAATCTCATAGTGGTAGGGATAGTAGAAGTATTAGCAGTAATGGAGAAGATTAGGGAGCGAAGATAAGATTCGAGAAGTATAATTCAGTGAGATAACTTTAGAAAGAGAAAGACAGGGGTGATGAGGAATTCAGAAGGTCAGGATTTGGGAGAACACAAATAGTGGATGCACCTGGGCTATTGCAAACAATTTTGGGCCATGTTGCACAAAACCAAACTACCATTGATTATCTCTAGTTTTCAAATACTATATAATTATGGTGTAGAAGCAGTTCAATCATATTACTTATAAGTAGCTGTAGTTTTTTTGAAAGAAAAACAATTCGTATAATAGAGCTTGTCTACTGGGAAAATAAGACAACTTAAACAAATAAGTTTTGACAGAGAAGTTTACTTAAGTGTGAAAGTCTCCAAACTAGTAAGTGAATAATGTTGGACTAAGTGTATATGAACGTTTATCTGCTACTGTTATGCTTGAGCTACTTAAGATACGACTAGATATCGACAAACGGAACGACAACGGATGGATACAATAACACAATAGTTTATCTATTCTCTACGACCCAGTTCAACTAACTAGTTCAAAGACAACAGGAAGAGTGTATAATTTACAAGCATTGCCAAGCGAACAAATAATTAACAAGCATTCAATTCAAGCATAATTTATCAAGTACAAAAAGTGTCCTTGAAAGAGTTATAATAATACAGCAAACTAAAGTGAAAACTAATCAATCAGATTAAAAGTTCTTCTCAGTGGGAAACACAAACTGCAGGTAATTTAGCGGGCATATTTAGTGCGAAAATAAGAAATTCACATTTCCAAGAATAAACTACAACATCTTAAGGTTGATTATCCAGCGATTTTTTTTTTGGGGGGGGGTGGGATCTAGCATCCCCAACAACTAGCTAGGTGTTCCTCTTGAGTGTCGTATGAAATTTATTTCGGACACAGTAAAAACCAGCAAAACTCAGGTGACGTGATCCATAATTTCCACAAACCTCAAATAGTAATGACAATCATATGCTTACTAGTAGCTAGTTTAAAGATGCGATTCCTGAAGTTTTAGGTAAAAACCCATGACCAGTAGAGTTCAGCCATGTTGGGTGTGAGAAAGTTACCCACCGAAGACAATCGAAGGTGGTCACACAATATCGTGGACTAATTAAAGTTAGACATGTATACCATTGTATACCGGTTAAGTGTTTTAGAAGTTAGGTGTTTATACACAAAACCGGTCCCCGTATGCAAAATTGTGGATATACTCTGCTGAGGAGTTTTGTACTAGGATGAAACAGTCGTACAGTGATTCCAGACTTGTAATACTGTTCCGGCTAAGATCAGTTCGTAATTTGAACTATGAAGATTATGAAAGGGTCTCTCTAAAAGGCTGTCACGTTAATTGAAAAAGGACAATCACTAAACATGATTACTTAATTCAATTTTGTACGGATAAATGGAAGAACAGTGTATAATGGCAAATGAAAATGAAGAGTTTGTTTTCACTGCAGAGGCAGCGTTGTAATAAAAAAAACAGTTCATTTATAAGATTACTGATGAAACCTTGACTAGAAATGACACTTTTATAAGAACGTATGTGGATAGAAATACATTACTAGAAGAACTTAGGTACCACTTTACAACAAAAAATACAAGAGATCCAAGTAGCACATAATTGGAAATAATTAAAACGAGATGATACAAAGATGTTCAATTCACCCCCAACTAAAATATCACTATTCGAGATTGAATGAGACTATCAGTTGAGTCATCAACCAACTACTAGGTAGTTAAGTTCCATTTTAATTCCCCCTATGTAGATTTGACATTGAAATCTTGAATTCAAAAGATACGAAATTGTTTTACCAGTTGATTTTACTAAATATGAAGACGCTTGGAGAGTGGGGGTGTACACTTCGTTGACTAGAAAGGGGGGGGAATATGTTAGACTTATTCGAAATATGATATGAAACACATAGAATTCTTAAAGTAAATTCCAAAAAGCATACTATTCAGTTCCAGAACTATGAAACAGCTTACTTTGATTGGTATCGGTTCATTGATATTATCATAATATGATTGAGTAGTTTTACGTTGAGTATTATTATTATTATTATTATTATTATTATTATTGGTTCCTACAATATCAACTTTAATATCTTCTGGATTTGATGAATTCGATTCTGATTCATTTCCTTCCGATTGGCATTGTTGACGATTTTTAGTCAGTTCAGATGCAGCATAAGATGGAACAGATTGTAAATTTTGTGTTCTATTATTCTATAACATCATATATGAAAAAAAAAATAAAGTTAGAGAAAATCTTTTAGAAATATAAACATGTGAGACAAGAAAATAGCATTTTGTGAAAAAGAAGCCTGTATCTTGATAATTTCAAATGATCAGTAATAACCATATTTCGGCCAGTCATATACGATGACGTTTAAAGCGTTAAGAAGAGTATTTTGACAAAAAAAACCCAATAATTTTCATTAACAAATAAACAATTTATTTAATTTGAACTCTATCACACTGCCACCAAAAGAGCATCAACACTTAGAAAATTTTCAATTCATAGTTTTTTTGTAGTTTATACCGAGATTCTGGTAGTAGTAGTAGTAGTAGGCTAGGATCCCAGTAAATTAATCAGTCAGTTACAGGGAATATAGAGCTTGGCATAGATGTATGTACATTGCACTCAAGTTGTCACATTATGTCAGTACAACAAGGTGACATTATCAAAACAAATTCCAGAGAAGCGAAAGCATCACTAGTGGTAATAGTAGATCAGATTAAGCATAGAAAGTATTATTTGAATGGGGAATGAATTCATGGAACAAAGAGTGAACGCATGTAGGCCATTGTGATTAACACACCTTCCATCTCTGAAACCATTAGTTAGGATGATCAAGTAAGTAAGTTTGCATCTACCTACAAACAGCAATAACTTCATGGATTTGATAAAACTTATGTGTCTCAAGTTTTCTTTCAACCCAATTCGACACTAGCAATGATTGCGCGTAAAAAATTCAGTCATATTAACGTTTGAAATATAATAATCACTCCCCTAAACCAGCGAGAAATCATTCTTGAAAATAAATATTTTATGCATTTATAATCTAACATTTTCACTTTAATGAAGAGTTTGTAAATTCGATGTAAAAAAAAAGCAAGAATGGTTCACTTGTGTTTGAAAAGAACATTTGGCTAATAATTAGTACCATAGAGTATACTTTGGTTCACACAAGTGTACATTTACCTATAGTAAGTACACACAAATGAATATTTATATATATATATCATGTGAAATCCTTTTTTTTCTCAAAACACAACATCTGTTCGAAGAATTATTTTGCCGGCTTGTTGATTAATGAATGCACAACACACAGTTCAAGGTCGTGCACATGTACATGCATGTAGTTAACAAATCGTATGATCAATAACAATTGTATGGCACTTTTTTGAACATTCATATCACTGATAACCTTAATTTTTTTCCAAATGATAAGCTCATCTCCCGATGGGGTAAGGGGAAAAAAGCAGGGAAATTTATTGTAAATAAAACGAGAATATGACAATATGATGGATTCATTTGGAATCTCATTGTTTTCTCTTCAGTTACAACACACACACACACATGCAAGCTAATAAGTTCGCTTATTTGAAATTTTCACATAATTTACAATGAACTGTTCAATGATGTCAATGAAAGATTCTGTATAGAATGTGAATATGAATAAAGTTGAGAATTAAACTTTAAAAGGCAACCGAATCATGAATGCAATCAGTTAAAGACCAAAGGTGACTTTATAACAAAGCACACATTTTGCAGAAGAAGTATTTTCATGGTATACAACACAGTCGATTGATATTAATCTGTTTAGGATGATGGATTTGTTGGACAGTGAAATGTGAGATAAGATTAGAGAAAACCAAAAGATATGACCATATTCCTGATACATACTCTAGAAGGAGCAGCAGTCTTGTACACAACCACACCAGCGGTAGCTGATCGCGATGTGATCAATCTGGGTACAGGCTTCAGATGAAGAAGGAGGATATCAGGCAGTATATTGGCGATGAATGTACCGATAGTTAGTGCCAGCCAGAAGCAGGGTGTAGTGTGCGCGTAATTGTGACAGACAATCCTTGTCATCCCACCTGCAAACAAGTCCCCGTCGGCCACCCAAACGCCTTTCCTTTGTGCCTACCTATTTAAGTCTCCGGTCGGTACTGTAACATCTATCGAACGGGCCGTCTGTAGATCACTAAGCTGGTAGTAGAACTCATCCGTGACTGAATCCGGTCTGCGATTTATCCAGGAGTAGGCGGGAATAATGAAAAGACATCGTTTCTCACTTTGATAGAACTTTCTAATCTAACAACACACAATAGACTGTTAGTAGGGATGCAATCGATTAGCGTTGACTCAGCTCTAATGTTTGATGCGACAACGCCAGCGAAACCAGTCGATGACACAAGGTCTCCAGATAAACGAATGTGAAACGAACTTTTCAATGTGACAAAATGATGAATAAAATAAACAAAGATATACAAATAACCCCTACATGCCACCTCCGATTATTGATATTAATTTACATGTAGTACATAGGACAGAAAGATTGGCATTAACAGGTTTTCTTTAAGATATTCCAAAAAACCTATGCCGTAGAGAACAGAACAGTTAGCAGGTCGATGGAGACGAGACAAAGTGTATATAATGAATGAATACAAAGCAGTCAATAATACAATGCTACTTCTATATTATCAAAAATTTGTGTACAGCAAAGCAATTACAAATGACTTTCACATGACCATTGTATATAAATAAAAATGAGTCAATGGTTAACCTTTATCTATTTTAATGACCAAAGTATTTTGGATTTATTACTCAGTCATAATGACTATTTTGTAGGTTCACCTTACTAACTTATTTTTTTTATATATTTAGTAATCAGAATTATCTCTGATTAATTTAGAAGTGTTACTTGAAGTATTTTTTTAAAGCGTATTTCTTGTTATTTGAATAAAAATTTCAAATTATTATGTTAAAATTATTTTAAAAATTAGCCAAAATTTTTTAGTATGCATAAAAGTGTGTAGTAGTAGTAGTAGTAAGCCGAAGAGAAAACAACGAAATGACCTGAAATCAGTGTATTCTTGTAATTAATTGTGTTGTTGTTTTTTTTGAAATTTTTATTTTCTATACTTGAACAGTTTGTTTTAAATTTAGACAAAAGTTCTTATTGCACAACATAAATAATACCAAATGATAAATTTACAAGATGATGATTGGTCAAAAAGAAAAAAGAGATAAATTTTTATTTACTTGACCAATTTTATTAGACAATAAGTAAGTAAGTGATCATAACCATATGTTTACTCAGTCAAAACACAGATGAACTTTTAATTTAAATAAATTATTTTGAATAAGAATAATAAATAAATAAACTGACAACAGAAAATAACACCAATGACGTATAAGTTCAGTTATAATGGAAGAAAAAAAATAAGATTTATAAGCATTTGGTGTATTGATATCAATTTTATATTGTATTTTTGCGCGTCTGAAATACAGTGTTAATCCAAAATTGTTTCATATAAAATCAATCAATCAATCACTCAATCAACAGCAACGTAGAACTTCGTACGTACGTACATCAGTTCAAGTTGCCATACCACATTAGCACAGAGCTGCAATTGTCAATTTAAATCCCATATTAGTAGAGGTAGTAAAGGTATTAGCAGTAGTCGGAGAGGTTAGGGAGTGAAGATATTATTCAAGAAGTAGAATCTAGTGAAATAAACTTTAAAATAGAAAGATACAGGTGATGAGGAACTCGCAAGGTTAGGATTTGACAGAACACAAAGAATGAATGCACCTGCGCCATTGCAACCGATTTTGAGCTATATCGTTCAAGGTCTCTAACCATCGATTACTATCATCTCGCGGACCCCAACCAGGTAGTCTACATCTACCAACATGACTCAGTCCACTAGTCGGTGACTTCATGGATTTCTGCCATGTTTTGGTTTGGCCGCCCCTAGCTTTTTCCCAATCTACCCGTTTGAAATATTCTCTATAGGTCTTTACAATTTAGGCTAATTACTGCCGTTTCATTTTCATACAACTGTCTCAAAATAACTTTATCAATAATAGAAAATGGTTTAGTAGTTAGAAAGTAGAAAAGATCATACACATCCAGTATTTTCACCAACAGAAGAGGTCGACTGTCATCCCAGCCTTGCATCAGATTTGAAATTTTAATTGAACACAAAACTGTAACGTTTGGTATTATAGTTTTTAACTTGTCTTAATTATCAGGTTAGTGAGGCAAATTTCATAATAACTGAATGAGGAGAATATTAAATTGATGAAGCAAGAGTAAGGTTTAAATGAATTTTTTAAAGCCAAAAAATATATGCTAAAGAGGTCTGGGAAAACTAGGGAGAGGAAAAGCTCATGAATAAATAAATTAATCAGACAGCCGATCAATGGATGAAGGTTTATAAGTACATATGAGGCTTCTAACCAGAGGAAATATTTATAAACCCAAGTCATGAGTTACATCTGACAAACGTAGCTTGAATATCAGTCAAAAATTCGGCAGCGAGTCGAAAAAACATTTATTCAGTATCATTTGTTCTAAGGAACAAGCTTCAACTTGGTTATGAAACGTGGAATAGCTGGATGAAAACATTTCGTGATTATCTGAAACTATATATATATATATATATATATATATATATATATATATATATATATATATATATATATATATCAAACAATTGGATTATTACTCCGCTTTACGCTATTGTATTAACGAGTTATGAAAGTTCGTGCACATTAAATACGTATTATTTTGCTAGTATCCTTCACGTCTACCAGTTAAAATATTAAAATCACAATCGGTTTATCAGTTTTATTAACGGTTACGTTGATATAAAGAGACTTACCTGAGTTTTAGACTTTCGAGGATCTTCCCAAGTAGTCAATTTATTAATGTGATCGATAAAAAAAGGGAAACCAGTGGTATTGTCATAACTCATTGACCATCCAGGAGGTAAACCATGTGAATTCATAATTCGTACAGCAGATAAATAGGCAACTGGTTTGTTCAAAAGATTAGCCGAAAAGTTTTGAAATATAATCAAGCAACCTACAGAGAAAAATTTGGCTTATTAAGCAACTATAACAATTACTATATATATATATATATGTACAAACCGTTTATAATGGAATTACATTGTGCAACAACTGGTATAAGAATTCATCTGAATTACAAACTTTACAATATCACACATTCTCTAGTACAATGTGAGTTCACTTGCTAGTAAAAAACCTGTCAGTGTTCACTGAATAGATGGGAAAGTCGTGGTAACGCACAGGCGCAGGCGAGATATCCTCTTGTTAACCAAAGGACGGGTGTACTGCGCAGCAGTTCGCTGTCCTACTACACGGATGCGAAACATGGCGGTTAAGAGTAGAGGACATTCGTAGGTTACTAGTCTTCGATCATAGGTGTCAGTCTAATGATGTCACAGTAAACAGTAAACAAGGGATGATTAATTGTTCCACATTAAAATACACATTACTGATTAAGTACGACGAGAAAACGGAGAGAAAAACTGAAGTTGAACGCAATAAAACTAGTCAGAGATGGAAAATCAATTTGCATGATCATAGGTCTTTATCAACTGAGGTGGTCAGAATATGCGCTACATACTTACGTTGGTGTGTAATAACTCTTTACCTACTCTAAAGTTGTGAATTTCAATACTTACCCACGCAAAATTTCCATTCAGGCCATACTTTTCTCACGTTAAGTTTATCTTACTTTCAGTGATATTACCGGTATTTTGACCTCTGTCATGTATCTTTTCGATTTCATCATGTCAAGGTGAGGTGGTAGAGTAACCGACGTTACGAACAGTTAGTTACGGGTATGAGGGTGGATGTCACTTCCTGGCTGTCCATACTGTGGAGGGGTGGTGCTTAAGGAACATGGAAAAGTTGTATTGGAGTTGATCTTGGAGACCTGGGAGCGTGACCACAGAGCCCAAGAGACAACTGCTTCAGGCCGGTCATGCACGGCCTTTTTATGGGAAGATTTTAGTGTTAGCTCCATACTTCAAAAGGCTTTACCGCCAGAGACAGAAATCCGTGAGCTAGGGTGAGGTGTGACATTTTTAGGGTCGACATTTTCTAACTCTCTCCTTCCTTGTGGGAAGGCAGCAGCGCTGCAGATGCTGGTTGTCTGAGGAAAGACCTTACTGTCGTCACACCCTTCTGCAGTCAGCAGTACGACTCCGCCCTCAGACCTTGAGTAGCTGTTTTTAGTCTCATCATTCTCCAATCGAGCTGCCTCGCATGGCATAACGTACAGAAAGATATGTTCCAGCCAATATAGCTCCGTTGAGTCATCACGATAGGCAATCCCGACCACCACATCACGGTAGCAGGTATGTTACGAACAACTTAAGGTCCGAGCGTGAAGTTATACTGCTTGAGTGTAGAGCGGTACGACAATAAAGTGCTTTCCTCAGAAGACCAGCATTTGCAGCAATGGCACCGAACAGTTTTGAAGACCATAAAAGTCGATAAAGACGCCGAACCAACCAATGCAACTGTGATGAGCTAATGTAATTAAACGACCAGAATAACAAACATTTTAGTTATCACTAAATGCATATGGCAATAGTGAACCGAGGTAATACGTCAAACTTTTGACTTCTGGGCAACTATATTATAACACGTTTAGCCATAGGAAAGAATATGGTTTCTACAGTGTGATGTCTGCACCCAATAAATCATATGTTATAATGATTGTCACTGGGATTTCTCTTAAGGAATTAAGATAACCTCAAGAATGAAATTATCCGCTTGAAACGAGTTCAGACTGAGGCATCCTGCAAAGTATTTGGGTTAAGTGAAATTATACTGTCGAGCCCACTAAAATCAAGTTATCGTGAAAACTATTGGGAGGAATTTACAAGATCGTTAATTATTGATTATAAAAGCCTAAGCAATGGGCAGGTAAACTCCACTATCAATTCAGTAGAACTCAAAACCCACGTAAGACACTTAACTTGCGATACACTTAAATTTTTCAGCACCCTCAATTTATGATGCCATGGTAGTCAGAATATGAGAAAATACTTGGAGATCACGGAGCGTATATCGTGCTTCAACAACGGTCGCCTTAGTGATAATTGTTCACCCGAAAAAACGTGAGAAACTTGCAAGGAAACAGTGATTCACAGCGTAATTTAACAACGCAAGATTGCAAAATTATTGTATGTTAACACAATAAATAATTAGGGTAGCAATTAATTAGATCCTTTCTGAATGCTTCCAAGAAAGAGTTATGGAGTTATTTTTTGTTGAAAGTCAGAGCTCAGAAAATGGTGCTTCACAGTAAACAGACCAACCCATAATTAGGGATTACTTCTACATAGGTATCTATAAATACCTGTTGTATACATGCAACATTATTCAATTCTGAGAATACTGACAAATACATAAAGGTTTCTAAGAAGAACACTAAGGAGTCATATATTTAGGTTTTCCTATCAATTTGAAGGCGAAAGGTTATCTGAAAGGTCCGGAGAAACACCATTACTCTGTAATCCACATTACCTGACCTACCAACTGCCTATTCATATTTTCCGCTGCCCGACTCTTAGTGTCAGTTTCAATCTGGTAAATTGGTAGAGATACCAAAAATCTCTGAAGGTCATTCTGAAATGCACTGAAGTTTTGAGCTCAAAGGTTTTTGATAGAAATCTTCTTGAATGACTTCATAGATGATGAATGGAACGGATAAACTTATTGTATACTGAAGGTACTAAGATTGATCATTGTCAGGGAGATATCACCTAGTTGTAAATTAATCTCTTATCATCACTCAGAAATCTTTACTGGGTTAGTTGAGTTCAGCTTTGATCATTTGAATGTCTCGTCATCACTCTGTCTATCATCTATCTCTGAGTTTATCCTCTAAAAAGGCATTGTAAAAATCGTTATCGCGACTGACTTTTTCGATAAATGGTAACGAGGTAATGATATTGAAATCCCCAAAGTAAATAGTAGAGCATATCTACGTCATTTATGCTGGCCCCATTAAATTTATTGGACACGCCTTGGACAAAGACACTCGGACACGTCTCTGTAACAGACTTCTACCGGGTATTTCATGCTAGGCATCTCTTTTCAACGGTTAGCCAGCTTTGGCCATATGCGTTTGGACATACCAATCAATCTTCATTATCCCTAAATTTCGATTTGGTTGGGTTTAGGTAGTCGACTATAAAGTTGTTAGGGATAATAGTGTTGTCATATCTTAGATATCTTTGATATCTTATTTTTAAGTCGTCTGCTATTTAGATAGGAGGTCGATTGACCCACAAAAAGATTCAAGATTTATAGTAATGTAAAGACTCAGAATTCACAATGATCTGTCAATAGTTCATTCGTTATTCCATTCAAGAAATGAAACTACGGAATTTTACATTATAAGATGCTCTGTAGTTAGAAATAAGCACTGACGTCAAGGTACGCATGAAAACTTAAGTTCTGCAATTAAATTGTTCATTTAAAGCTTTTCTATAGCAAGCTACTTTACCAAATGACCGAATGATATAATTTATTGATGAATATAAAGTGATATATAATCGTGGTGGAAGTTTCCTGACAGGTTAAGGTTGAAGCTCATCGCGTTAACTAGAAAAAGTTTTGTAAATGTACTTTTTATGTTGGTCTGATTCTCCGAGTAATGATGAAGTCGGAGGAAGACATGGAGTATATGATGAATACAGCTGTACTTTTATTGTTTAAAACTAATTACTGTAACGAAAATACTCGAATTTCCATTTGAAATATAGAAGCAGACACTGAAAAATTCTTTTCTATTAGTTTTTCTTGGAGACGCTACACTAATCTATGTATATGATTTACAGCACTGAGTAGTGTTTATCGTACTAATTATATGGTATCCCAATAACCATGAAATAATATTTAACGATTGAAAGTTACAACATCATAATAATCAAAGTAATTGATAGAAAATTTTGATTGAACAGCTACTACATTGCAGATTCATGAACCAAAAGGAAAATCTGTTGAGGTATACTGGGTAAACTTAAATCCTCAATTCAGGTCCACTTGGTATCGTATGTCCACCAAGTGAACAAGAACAGAATTCTTAATGACTATTACCTGTCCTTTGTTCAACCAATATGGATGGCTTTCTCCAGTATTGTGACGGATTAGCCAAATTTTAACCCCTATATAACTGGTTCCATGAGGTCACTGGTACACATCGATGTGATGAATTCAAGCAGCCTGTCTTAATTGATGGTTCTTCATTATTGGACGATTATAGAAAATTCCATCTATTTTGGATGCAGTAAATTTGATTAGAAACTAGATTCTTAACCACAGAGTTACCATGTTTTCAGTGGGGTCATTTAAGCATTGTGAATTCAGGAACAGTTGCAATTTTTGTTCATTTTTTCATTCTATTCATATATACGTTAGTACATTTCACTAGATATCATTTCTTCATTAGAAGGCAGAGAATATTATTTAATTCGATTTCATCGGTCTCATCATAGCATACCACTCTGTCACAGTGTGTCAGGAATTTTACTAAGTTTCTTGATAGATACAACGCAGAACTTAGTACGTAAGTACATCAGTTCGGGTCGCCATACCACATCAGCACAGAGACGCAGCTTTCAGTTTCTCTGATGTCTGTTTTGTACAGCGCTACAGAAAGAATTGATTTTCCAAATGAATATTTCCTCTGTATCATTTGTTTCAGTGCCCCATCTACTCAGCTTGCAGGGAGGACGCCTAGAAGGGATACACCGTTACGCTTTTCTCCACTCAGTGTAGAATTAATAGATAGATGAATGCTGTTCAACATATTAAGTCGTTTTCCCGTTTCATATTTGTTGTATAATACTACAAAGTGCTATCAGCATCACGATAGTCAGACGTTAGGTGACTGATTATTTCTTAAGATCATCAACTTTCGGACTTATCAAGAAAAAGCATTCCAATACTATGACCTAGCACTACGCTTGTAAATTCTGTTTTTATCATTTCAACATAGTGTTCTAGTGATTTCACTTTTATGAAAACAACGTGATTGGTTTAATGGAAACATTTATTATTATAACCAATTATACCAGTGAGTGTTTTACTGGAACTCGTGTTTGTTTTACTTTGTACTCGAAAACTTCCTTTTTTGTTGCTGCCATTTTTGTGTGTACAGCTCACTGTAACTTCGCCCCTCTTTTATGGCACGATTTCGGCATTCCTTCGATACCACGCAATCGCCAGCAAATATATTCCGCTGTATGGATCAACTTTCCGCCTCTGTCCTTGATTCACAGAGATACTATATTAAGTCGTGGGAGCGTAATTCGGCTTCGATGGTGATCATAGTCGATCTCGACTACAGGCACTAATGTTTCTTGACAGAATGTTTGACAAATTGCTTTAAATGCACCAATACTAGTAGTGAATGTCTCAGCAAAGGTTAAGTGTTAACATTTGTTCTTACAGAATATGATATGTGATCTTGATTGGTGAATATTTGAAGATAATATTACTTAGCTCCACTGGTGTGACTCGATAGTCATGTATGTGAATACAGTAGGTACGTCCGTTCTGCATAATGTTTAGTAATATATGTTTATAATCTTAAAATTGCTTGCGAAGAATTCAAGAACTGACGTTGCTAACTTTTTTCAACCTTCTGGGAGAAGTAAACTTAAAATGAAACTAAGGATTTACGAACAATGTGGCCATGGTTTATGCATATTCACTAGGTCGCACATTATGCCAGGATTACTACTCTACCGAGATAACCTACAACATACTTGCTCAGACACTGTATGACTTAGAGATTAGCATCCGACGAAAAAGAAATGATAAATAATAAACAATTTGGTTTTCAGTGTTTCCTGTAAACTTTAATCCTGTCACTGAAACTTAGCTGTTAATGTGCAGAGATCCAGCCTCTTGCTTCAACTTTTTTTCCATCATTTGGACTATATCAAACTTGAAATATCACAACTCATCGTTCTTTATTGCTGCACTTCCAAAATTTGCAGACCATCTCATTACAATTTATTATAATTTTAGCAGCCAGTATGAATTTGATCTATTGACTTTCTAGTACTTTGTCTGCTTCACTATGAACGAATAAACAATATTTTGGTTATATATCGAACTGTCCTGAAGCTCTTTTTTCTATTCGTCTTTTGTTTTTTTTCACAAGCTTGCTAACATTGAACAACCATGGTGCTTCTTCTTCAAATGAACCAGACGTGTGCACTCATCAAGATCAAAGTTTATAACAAGAGCCGTCCGATAGGCAATTTATAACCTTCTGTGGCATAGAATAAACTAGCTTCTGGCTCATTAGGAAACGAAGAAAAAGAAAGGTAGGCGGATGGGAAACACACTGAGGAGACCATCAGACTCCATCACCGGGCATGCCCCGAAATGTTATTCCCATAATCACAGAAAAAAGATAGATTAAAAAAAACTTTCCTCAATAAATTAAAGGCAGACGTTCGAAGAATGAAAAACACTATACATGTGAAAGAAGAATGCAGAACAAATTAGATCGGAGATCATCTATTGGTGATCTGAGCGTTACTTCGGACGGTGGGCATAATTACATCATAAAACGATAACTTTACATGATATCTGCGCCTTAACTCGGAATTTTAGTTGGCACTAAGAAGAGCGTCTCTGCAGCTGGATTATTTGACGGGTAGATAAAATGCACCATAGTCCACTGACAAGCTATAAGTGTTTTTGTACATAAAGAACAAGCATTGAAATCCTGTTTTTTGATTAAGTTGTCTTGTTCAAGTTATATTGGTACAAAAATTATTAAAGCTTGCACTCTTACAAAGACGAATCAGACCAGTTTGAGATAAGCAAAATTCAGGCTGTAAGTCGAAAAACCATGCTGTTATCAGCAGAACGACCCTGACCGCGTGTCCGTGGGGCCAAATATGTTGTTTGCTTATGGCTCGTTATTATCGAGTTTGATGTAACTCAACAATATTCATATTGCTTCTTTACGTCAACAACGTCTTTGACTCATGTTTGTAAACTTTAACTGGTTTTACTTCCTACAGAGATCCTATTACAAAGGAGTTCACTCGTGACTTCGTAAATAATAGTAACCAAAAATAACAATTTAAATATCATTTATAGATCAAATCATTGCATCTGCTGTACTACATCGACATGTCTTTTACCGATTCAATTATTTTGAATCTCCTCCATTTATACAATCATTTGCCTATTCGTTACCGTACTAGTGAGTTGTTCTTACTAACCTGTATTAGTATAATCATGTAGTAAGTGATCTGATAACGAGAAAAAGAGCATGATCAATTGTACTTAAATGTTTAATTGACAGACGCGTCCATTAAATCATGACTTAACACCAACTACGGTTATTTTCTATTCGTCCTGCCCCATGTAAAATAGCCCTGACATCCTCGGAGACTCAATAAACTGACTTATTTGACTACGTATAAACAAGTTGTCGTCAGTTATTTGTTAGGACCCTAGGAGTATGGAGGAAAGGAGTCAGACTATGAGGAAAAACATACCAAAGAATGAAGCCTAAAAATACAAACCATCTAAATTTAGGCCCGTTTATGATAAATATCTCAAAACCAAGTAAAAATAAGGATATATTTACAAGATCAGCTTCTGGGTATTCAGGTAATTTACGTATATCCAGTAACAACTTATTTATTTGTTCAGCGGCCTTTTGGATAAGATTGGTGTCGAAGACTCGGAGCGTGGCTTCTTAAGAACACCCAAGTGATTCACTTTGGGTAACCGGTTACGGAAAATAAAATCATATAGGCAAGTAAATTTTGGGACTGGATAAAAATGTAGTCCTAAGGGCAGGAAAAGATGTCTTCAAACGTCCACAATTTCTATGTATTCACGATTGTTTAATTCCAATAAAACTTTCGAGAATTCTTTGAAAAAGCTGTGCCTTGTGGATTTCCATGTGTCAAATATGAGATATTTACCCAACTAAGGTCATAGTAAATAGTCGCAAATCCTAAAGGAAGACGCATACAGTACTGAATTCCGGAACAGAGGTATGGAATTTAAGCGTTCGTAGACGAGACTGTAGGGCCTGCGCTGGGTGTTAGGTGATTAGATTGTTTGCTGGTTAAAAGTCTTGTACCAGAACAAAACAGTTTATGATTGTTAGGCTGAGATTTCAATTCCACCGATGTTTTTGTTTTAATTTCCATGTACTTGGAATTCAGTCTAAATGTTTACCTTCAGAGTAACTTTGACCATTGTTGGATGAATAGTTGTCCTGTCTTATTTCTTGATTCAAGAAATACATTTTTTAGTTGAAACTACTTACCAACTAAAATCAACTAATATAATCGTCGCTTTTATTAAATGCTACTCAAGAAGCTAGAATTTTTATCCATTTCCAAAGCACTCAAACGTTGCAATACAGGCGCGTATTCGAACGTGTTCAAAGTTTCTCAAAAGTCGCTGCAACAGTGAGAGGTTCAGGCGAGAAAATCAGAGGACAGCTACAAGTGATATCACTTATAATAATGTTTAGAGAAGTTAGATTAAATTTGAAGACAGGTTTATTTAAGATGGATAAGCAACGAATGAAGTGGTACGTTTTTCGGAATATTGTTCAGGACCGGGTTGTCGAGTTACATTCTGAAGTAGGTGACATAGAAGGATATGAAATAACCACATCGTTGATCATTTTCGGAGCAGGCGGTTCTAATGGAAAAGCATAGCAGTCACGAGTCATAAACACAGTGCTACTAGATTAAGCCAGGACACAGGAAAACGTAGAGGAATACAGACCAAGTTGAAATCAATTTTTTTCATATTTCGCTCATAACGTGTACACGGATATGTGTAAAAACTCTTTGCAGGCACTGGAATTCCATATCCAGTATATGTATCCAATGTCTTTGTCTCCTGCCAGTATATAAATATTGATCTTCGCATTCGATTCTCGTGGATTTGGTAGGTCGCTTTCTGCTGGAAACCAGATAAATACGCTCAATATGTACCTTGATCTTGAAAAACTGCTGGAGACCAATGTGTACGATTTTCACCTAACGACCCTCATTTCGACAAATATTTGTCTCTTAATATTTCCTAAATATTGTGGCAAGGATTGAATGTGTCAATAAAAATAAACTTTCTCCTTGAAAAGAAAGTAAGATCATCGCTTACTCACTGAGCTGTTTAAACATTCTGTCACGAATTATGCTGACCTACAACTCAACCTTGAAACTTTCAAAAAACCTTCCCAACAGTTATCACGATGTCTTGATTTTGGTGTGCTCGACAGTATAATTTCACTTAACCCAAATACCTTACAGGATGCCTCACTCTGAACTCGTTTCAAGCGGTTAATTTCATTCTTGAGGTTATCTTAATTCCTTAAGAGAAATCCCAGTGACAATCATTATAACATATGATTTATTGGGTGCAGACATCACACTGTAGAAACCATATTCTTTCCTATGGCTAAACGTGTTATAATATAGTTGCCCAGAAGTCAAAAGTTTGACGTATTACCTCGGTTCACTGTTGTCATATGCATTTAGTGATAATTGAAATAATTGTTATTCCGATCGTTTAATGTTCACTTACTAAAGGATTAATACCAAAAAATGTTTTATATTTTCCTTATCTTATTATCGTTAACAGAGTTAAATAAGATAGTAGACTTAAAAAATTTCCTGAACAAAGTATAACGAAATAAATTTACCGGTAACAGATAGCGTGTGATCTTTTTCATAAATGTAGATAGACAAATTTTTTGCATGTTGCCAACAACTTTCCCCTTATCATGCGTAATTTTAAGTAGGTTTTATTCTGTAAGATCGAGCAGCGCGTTACCTAAAGATCATTCAACTCAATATTTCTGTCCATCATTATTTTCTAGTACAAACTTGTTACAATAGAGTTATTGAAATGTTACCAATGATATTCGTTTTCCTTCATAAAACACAGTATTCACGATTTTTTTATTGACTGTTGACAAAGTAAAATAACATTTACATATGCATCTAAATTTTACAGGTTTTCAGTTCTGAATTTTCAAAATTTCCAGAACAATTATTATTATCTCGTAATCTACTGTAAATTTTACAATGAGTTCAGATTGGCATTCGTTACCAGTTAAACTCTCTGAAAATATCCTAGAAGCGATTGATGCATTAGGATTTAAAGAGTCTCTGCCTGTTCAGGTAATACTATCCTATTTCTTTTTTTAAAATATCCTTAGCAATGTGTTATTCCTCTTCTGTTAAATTCAAAAGATGTTGTAGCTGAAGCTATTACTGGTTCTGGAAAAACCTTGGCATTTGTTATTCCAGTGTTGGAGATATTATTTAAACGAGAACGCCCATGGCAAACATATGAAGTAAAACATTAACATTAAAAGTATTTTATACTAAATAGATTGGAGCATTGATTTTATCTCCTACTTGTGAATTAGCAATTCAAATATATGATATAGTATTACATTTTATCAAGCATATCAATGCAAATTCCAAGTAAGTAATAACTGTGACCTAATTATTTCACGTTTTTAAATGCTGTCTCCATTGTAGTTTTCTAGATTATTTGTTACCTTTTTTTGAGACCCCATCGTAGCTGTTACCTTAACGTAATGGTCAGGCTTGCTTATCGTGATGACCCAGCCGAGGTTACTGGCTAAAACACTTGTTCCTTTAGGTTGTACCATGTCAAGCAGGTCGATTGAAGAATGGTAAGACTAAAAGCCAAAACTTAAGGTCTGAGGGTGAAGTCATACTGCTAACTGTAGAGGGGTGTTACAGCAGTAACGTATTTCCCTCGGAAAACCAGCACCTGCAGCGATTTTGCTTTCTCACAAGAAAGAAACAGATTAGAATAGGTCGAGTCTAGAAATGTCACACCTCAACTTAACTCACTGATTTCCATCTCTGGCGGTATAACTATTTGAAGTGCGAGGCTAACTTCTTAAAACTTTCCTGTAAAAGGCCGTGTGTGCCTCAAGCAGTTGTCCCTTGGGATCTGTGGCCACGCTCTCAGGTTGTCAAGACCAGCGCTAATTCAAATTCCTTTTCAACTTCCTCAGGTAACAGCCTCTGAATTTGGGTAACCGGGAAGTGACATCTGCCCTTGTACTCATAACGGCACACGAGATCAAATTAGTCGCAATCAAATCCTTCCTTCATCGCTTAATAGCTTTTTTTTTATATCCACAGTCTGTGATGCAATTGTTTGAGCTAAAAATATTATTCCTGGTATCATGGAACCACGCTCTAAACTACATTTTGGGGATTTTAATTTTCGATCCATGTACCAAATACGACAACAGGCGTCCATAGCTAGGACTTTGGAATCTCGTGCCATCGATGTATGCTATCTCTCCGAAGTGTGCATACCAGATCCAAGTAAAATTGTTCATTTGACCTCACCTTGTCAAGATAAAGAACCATCACGATTTACGCTCATTCTGGAGCACATGTTTAGATTCAGATTATGCTCTAGTACGAGCGCGTATTTATCTGCGTTTTATTAGTCGTAAGTAAGACGCAGAAAGAAAACCACTTGGAGATTTATTTAATGATAGCAAAGTTAAGGACATATTTCAGGAACAATTAAAAAAACTTAGGCATCCATGTAAGTTGATGTCCACCCCGAGGCAGTTTGGAGCGATATCCAAAAAGCTGTAGAAACAGCAGTGATATCTACTAGTAAGGCAAACCATAAGATTAGATAGTAGCATTTACCGAATTGATAAATGCTTGGAAACTCATCTAGTCTGGATGTGAACATGATGAGAAGTGGAGTAAGCATAAGCTCTGGCTGATCAACCTCAAAAATATAGTGAAATCCTTTTTATAGTTGAAAATTTTTATGCCTTTTTGAGCAAGTTTTACACTAAGTAATAAATTCTCAACCATTTACATGAGTAACTAAACCAATTACCTAAATTACATTGTTCTCTTTATTTTTCTGCTAGTATGATATTCTTGTAAAGCTAGTTAGTGGTAGAGAAATTTTCTCCGAATTACATGAATATTTCCTATGGTGTTTTTTTGTTTGAACATTATTATGTTGCCAAATAATTCATGGTTATGATTTTTATACATCGGATTTTCGTTAATCATATAAAATATTGTATTTGTACACTGTAATCACTACATTTACAAGATCCTGTATACGGAATCACCTGTATGTCGAAATCATCTCTAATATCATCATGACTCACCAGTCTGATTCGAACTAAAAGAGCTCTCTAGACTAAAGAATAGAGTATGATTTTGAAAATTGAAGTCTACGAAAAGACAATGAACAAATATATCTGTGCCATCGTAAGCAATTATAAGTCATGTCATTCAACATTTCCAACCACTGGTTATGATAATCGTGTTGGCCTTAATCAGGCATCATAAATCTATGAACATGTCTCTTAGCTCAATAATGGATGATTTCATGGACTAATGCTAAATTCGAACTTACCTTCCTCTAATGTTGTTTTAAAGGCGGTCAAACCAAAACATGGCACAAATCTATAAAGTCACTGACAAGTGGACTGAGTCATGTTGGTAGATGTAGGCTACCTGGTTGGGGTCCGCGAGACGAAAGTCACCAATGGTTAGAGACCTTGAACGACATGGCTCAGAATCGTTTGCAACGGCGCAGGTGCATTCATTCTTTGTGTTCTCTCAAATCCTAACCTTCTGTATCCCTCATCACCTGTATCTTTTTTTTAAACTTTATTTCACTAGATTTTACTTTTTGAATAATATCTTTCAATCCCAATCTCCATTACTGCTAATACTTCTACTATCGCTACCACTATGGAATTTGAACTGACAGTTGCGTCTCTGTACTGATGTGGTATAGCAACCTGAACTTATGTACTTACGTACGAAGTTCTACGTTGTAACTGACTGACTGAATGTTTTTTTTCCAACTTGTAAGTAGTTTTTACTTTCGTTCTTAAAATGACCGTAGCTCTCAAATGCCCTGGTAAATTCGACAGCACGGAATATCTATCCTTCTGGAAATCTTTTTATGTAGCTACCCCCATATAGTCACTTCCAAGGAAGTCCTATTCACTGGTTTTTCGAGGAGTGCGAATGATGTTTCTTACGAAGTCTAGGGGAAGAAAAACGAATGTTCAGCTTTTGAACTGGGTTAGTGAGTATAGAGGTGAAGATTGCTAATTCCAAACCACTGATGCACATGGGCTGGAGGATCCTGGGGGAATAAATGGTGTGTGAACTTATTGTTGACAACTGGCTACTATAAGACTATATCTTCTAATGTTTCTCCACTGTGTTGTGTATTAGACTTGTAGGTGAAAGGATCTAGTGTGGCTTCTTACTTAGACCATCTGCTTTGATTTGGACACCCAATCAGTATCCTAGTCCACACAACAATCCATTGAACTATGAGGCACCTAAAATATTCAAGTTCTAGTCTATACAAATAATGATGCGTTTAAGTAAGCAAAATTGGAATGAAGAAATGTACACAAATGAATTAAATCAAACATTTCTAATCATATTATTATTATTGTTATTTTGTTTTTTGTCTACTAGTAAACATAATTTCTCAGCGCTTGTTTTTACTAGTAGTGGACGTTCTAGTGGGGCGACAACAACAAAATTTCAAGATTTTAAAAATTTCAAAGAAAAAGGTTCAATTATTCTTGTTGCTACACCTGGACGTTTAACTGATTTAATTCTAGCTGGTCCAGTTGTTGATTTTGGTTTTGGTAATATGACTAATCCTATTATAAGGGGACTACGAAGTATGGTGAGTTCTGTTTTCTTTTCTGTATTTTGTATATGAATTTTCAAATTTAATTATTTTCAACTGTAAAAGCATTCAGATAGAATGAAAGATTCTTTGGATAGAAATTAATTTCATGCAATCAATGGATCTTTCAATTAGAGTTATGGAGATTAGTGTTTTTTGCACATCGAAGTCATCAATCAAGTCTTTGTTAGACCACCATTAGAAACCTGGAAGCACTGAAAGACGGCCGTTTCGTCCTGCTATGGAACTCGTCAGTGCCAGTGCGCATCCACCACTCCTGCACCTCGCAAGATTCTTGCGCGCGAACGCCTAACCTCTAGACCACTATGCCGGCATGCAACGGTTTCCATGTGTAACTTTGATCAATCTACAGATTTTGCGCTACCTCACCCATTTGTCTTTGGTAGTTACTGCCTACACTCGACAGGGTTGAATTCCACTGGTCACATCTTCTGATGAGTCCTATACTAGGACGAGACGGTCTTCTGATGTTTCCAGGTTTCTAGTGGTGTTTTAAAAAAGATTGATTGATGATTTCAATGTGTAAAAATCAATGGATCGTAAATGATGCATAAAATGCGTCAAAACAGAACTGATGAGTGAATTACTTCCTAAATTTATGCATGCTATCTCTGATGTACCAGGCTGTTCTGGACCAATTATATACTGTCTCAACGATCAGATACATTTTGAGTGAGAAATTCAATTATGGGTTAGCGTTTTTGTTATTGAATTCTTCGTCTAGCAACGATAATCACTTGCATGCTTAATCTGAAGACATTTTTATTTAGCTTACAGCTAATTGTCTATTTTTTGTATTGTCGGTTAATTAGGATTTAGAGCGAGCTTGAATTGTTAACCTAATCGGACCATAGGACCAAATGATCTCTTACCATAATGATATAGACAACAAAAATACCAAAATACTCTCAGTTAGTCAATCAGCTAAAATATAGAACTTTGTACGTACGTACATCAGTTCAAGTTGCCATATCACATTAGCACATAGAGTTGGAATTATCAATTCAAACCCCATAGTAGTAGAGGTAGTAGAGATATTAGCGGTGATGAAGAAGATTGGGATTCGACGATTTAGTTCAAGAAGTATAATTCAGTAATATAAATTTAAAAATAGAAAGATAAAAGTCTTGATGATTTCAGAAGATTAGAATTTGAGAGAAGACAAAGAATAGATGCACCTGCGTCATTGCAAACGATTTTGAGCAATGTCATTCAAAGCTCATGACTACCGGTTACGATTAGCTCACGGACTACAACCAGGTAGGTAGTTTATACCTACTAACATGGCTCAGTCCAGTTGTCAGTAACTTGATAGATCTGTGCCATGTTTCGGTTTTGCTTCTGTGTATTAACTAAACTGTCTTAAGCTATTTGTAAAAGTTTCGATTGTTTATAAATGGTGAGCAGAAACTTTGAGAAGCAAAACAGTACTGAATTCATTTTATTCTACAAACTATGTTGTACTTGATTTTTTCAAATACCATAGATGAGTATGTATTATAATGCATTGATTTCAATGCGTCTAAACACTTGTAGCAAATTTCAACAAAATTATGGTAGACTAGTCAAAGTACAGTAATTACGTTATGTATGTACTTACTTACTTACTTACCAACGCCTGTTGCCCCTAATAGAGCAAAGACGTCCGACCAGCGAATTATTTTTCTGGTTAGCGTTTTCTTTAGCGAGTTGAATTTCTACAGAATGGGGTCGTTAACCCCATGCTTAATTCTCCTCCTTTATCCGAGCTTGTAACCTGCAGTAACCCTAGAAGGGTTTCATGTGGAGTCACATCATTTACGTTGATAAGAATATCACAATAAATTTAAATTTGAACTTTATATCTTGAGCACTCGTCAAACAAAGCCGACCATCTCTAAGGATTTAATTATTTACCTCTGTTACACAAGATTTAAGGTTCACTATTTAGTTGAGAATCTATATAGGTGTGTATCTAACTCTGGTCCACCAGGGTGTCAGGCACCTCTGTGGTGTTGCACTATGGGGTTGAGCCAAACTGTTCACGTTGAAATGCTTACACGTGGGCAATCTCTTTGGTTCTCCTGAAGACCAATGTAAAATTACCCTTGACAATCGAGGATTAATTCATATAATTGTGTGAATTGAATTGTATCTAACTCACGATAAGCATAGCTTGATACCTAATACGCAAAACCATGTAATTGATTACTAAGTTACATTTTATTATTCCTTTCATTAAAAAGCTAAAAGATTGATGAGTATTGTGTTAGTGGGACACAGATAGGATTAAAACATGACTGCGTTAGCTGCACACTGATTGGCTAATTCCTATCCAATCAGCGCATGGTCGATACTTGGAGAACATTCTAGAAGCTTCTCATGTAAAAACTATGAAGATACTAACGTTGTTCCTATTTCGCCTTTGCTTCGGCTTCTTACTTCCATTTAACTTTATTATTTGGAATATAATCTCTTTCCTGTTCAACCGTGTTCTGATTTGGAGACTTGTCGAGTGGATTGTCGTCGAGAATACTCAGCATTAGAAATAACTGGGTTCTACTAAGAGAGAATTATAACATATTGTATTAAATGTATATTCATTTATTCGATAATAAATGTATTTGTTATTATAAGCTTGTGGAGATTGTGAGTTACGTATTGAAATCATGAATTGATCAATGTTAGATCAACATTAGAAACTTGGACGCACTAGCCGACCGTTTCGTCTTATCTGTGGGACAATGGATAAGGTCGCTCAATATCGTGAACTGATTGAAGTTAGACATTGACACCAATGGACTCGAGTTCCTTGGTCTAAAGGTGCGCTGACTGAAAGTCCTGGGTCTGATGTCTAAATGCAGGGGGTTGTGGATGCGAATTGCCGATGAGTCCTATACTAAGACAAAACGGCCATCTAATGATTCCAGGTTCCTAATGGTGGTCTAACATTGATTGATTTATGATTTCGATGAAATTAAATCTATACTTCTCTATTTTTATTGGAGTAACTGCCATGCATCACGATAATAAATTAGCTTATGTAAATTATCAATAAATGTTCTATTTAGACTGATATCATTATTCAACTATTCTAGAGATTTATCACACTTTTCTTCTTACCTGTTTTTTTTGTTTTCTTTTCAATCTAGGAAGTTTTGATACTTGATGAAGCTGATCGTCTTCTAGAAATGGGATTTGAATCACAGTAATTATTTCTTTTCCCTTATTTTCTGTTCACTAATTGAATTTTATTTATGCAAATCTCTGGGTCACATATTTTTGAATCATTCTACGCCTAAAACGGATTGATCATTGAGTAGTGATGAATTTCATGTTTGTCTGATGGATTAGTTTCAACCATGAACTACTGGCCTGAGCTAGATTACTGTTGAAAAGATGAAGGCTCTGAATGGCCAGTTCGTCCTGGTATGAATGTTGTTACAGTCGGCAGAGGAAGACAAGGGTTTCGGAAGGTCAAAAGCACAGAGTGTTCGGAATACTTTGGAGACCAGTAGAGAAGCGAGAGGAGAAAATTTACAACCATCGTGGGTTGCAGAACACACAACAATATATTACTACTGGGATAACTTTAAGAACAAGACATTGAAGGGAAGGAATGTTTATTTATTAAAACTATAGACTATTTATGAAATATGTCCACCTAGTCGTCATTTATGCATTTACATCTTGTTGTGTGTTCTGCAAACCAAGTTGGTTGTAAACTTTCCTCTCTCGCTTCTCTTCTGGTCTCCAAAGTATTCCGAACACTTCATGCTTTTGTCATTTTGCTGGCTGTCGAATGTAGCATCCTCCACACGATGTCCTGCTACACACTAGTTATAGGCGATCTTGTGATTAGCATCCCAAAAGTTGGTATGGAACTTGTCAGTGCGTATCCACAGCCCTCATAATTTTAGGAAAAGAAGACCACCTAATGTTTCCAAGTTTCTAACGGTTGTCTAACACTAATAGGTTCATGATTTCATTACAAGTGAACAATCTCCACAGCCCTACAATGAAATAACTTTTGCCTAGCTGGATTCGATTTTGACTAATTGTTAAATGTAATATTACTTAATTACTCCTGTTACCTCCGATGTAGCATGGGCCTCCGACCAGCGAATCAGTCTTCTAGTTAGCGTTTTTTTTAGCGAGCTGGATTCCTACAGGATAGGGTCGCTAACCCCATGTCTAATCCTCCTCCTTTTCCGGGCTTGGAGCTGGCAGCAACCTTAGAAGGACTCCAGGCAGAGTTTCAGTGTAATAAAAATAAATAAATACTCTTCTGTTGTCTATTCACTAAAAGGTATGTAAGTTATGTTGACTGTTATCATTCTGGGTTTGATTGGATTTGTCTAGAAAAAATTGCTTTCTCTAGCTTCGTTTAAATTCTTATTTCAGTTTTAATCGACATATTTCTTAATCTTTTATCGCATTGTATTACATTTCCATAGAATAAACACTATCTTATCTTTCCTACCGAAACAACGAAGAACAGGGCTATTTTCTGCGACTCAAACAAATCGTGTTGAAGATCTTGTTAGAGCTGGTAAGTAGTTACGCCTGCACGTAAACACGTCATTTTGATATGCTTGAACCTTAGTCGGAGAACGAGGATCCGGCGACACAACATACCACTCTAATGCGGGTGTCCCAATCCCGATTGAATAAAAGAAGAAGACTTGATATGAAGTACAGCCTGTATTCTACAAACGTCCAGAAAGTACGAAGTCCGAGTCCAGAAGAGAATCATGATCCCGAACTAGGGACTTGGGTCCGGGTCATAAAACGTTACAGATAATGCATATTTATACATTTTGGTCGAATAGGAAACAACATTGAAGTCTGTGACATTGATAGTTAGGACGACCAATAAGAAGCAACATTTGAAGTGACACTGATAGTCTGGACGACCAATAAGAAACAACACTGGAGTACATGACATTGATATTTAGGACGACCATAAAATTGACCAGTAGGAATTAACCGACAGGAATTGACCAATAATTCTCTAAGGATATTTGATGAGTTTCATCACAGTAAGTAAATATGTTTGCATATAGTATCAAACTATTTAGACAGTAAAGTACTTGATAAAGGCAAGCAGTATACATTTTAGGTGACGAATTCTCGACACCAATACAGAAGGTTTGATTGGATTTTGCCAACTTGCATCATTTATGGCGTTAGTAAGATATCTGTCTGCTAACCAAAGAACAAGTTTACTGCTCAACAGTTCGTTTCGTTATACTATACGGGTGTGAAACATGTGATATGACTCAGAATGGTTTGCGATGGCGCAGATACATCCACTCTTTGTCTTCTCTCAAATTTGAATCTTATGAATTCTTCATTACTCCTTTTCTCTTTCTAAATTTATTTCACTGAATTATACTTCTCGAATCATATTTTCGATCCCTAATCTTTTCGATTACCGGTAATACGTCTACTACCTGTACTACTATATGGGATTTGAATTGACAATTCGATCGCTGTGTGCTAACGTAGTAAGGCAACTTAAACTGATGTACGTAAGTACGAAGTTCTACATTGTAGCTGACTGACTGACTGTATAAATTTCAATGTGTATTGATGTCAGTACTGTTCATATGGTTTTCTAACCGTCCTTGACTTATTATTTCTATTGATTTTTCATTACTCAGACACATGCAAATATAGTGTGTACCATTTAACAAGAAAATGGATGTAATGTGTTGTACATGAATTCTTGGAGTTACATTTTTAAAAAAAATCAATGCGGTTAGACTAATTTTAAGTTATTTCTCAAGAATTAAATTTTTAATATGAGAAAACAGAAAGACTTCAAAAGAATGTTATGAAATTAGAATAATCAAGTGAGATATCTTCGCTAACACGAATGCTTATTTGATCATTCGAAACACTATGCATCCATGGGTCATTATTGAGATAGATAAGCTCCCTGCTATGCTCGTCACTAGGTATGCTTGAAACTATTACGGGTTCACCTTAGTTGATAAACGAGAATGAGACAATGAACCAGCGTCCAGGTAGGCTATTCTGATGCGTCGACCTAAAGGAACTAACGAGAAGTCTTGATATAACGTAGAAAGTGTATTCTACAAACACCCAACAAGCACACAAATCGCGTTTATTTATGCTCCATAGACGTCTAGGGAGAGTGACAAAATAGCACACCAAAATAACACAGTAACCGATCACAGCCAAGGCTTTTCCCGCTGGGAAATGTGATCTCAAGGTCAACCGGTTGGCCCATGAATGAAATCCAAAATAAAGATATTTATCAAGCGAGTTCTGGGAATCTGACATACCCAACACCCTTAGACCGTCGTCCAAAGTTTTGATCTGTATTATTTCGAACATTCTCTTCATCTTCGTCAAGGTTTCTGTTTTTAAATTCTCTCTTTTTAAAGTTTGTTGTTGTTTATCCTAGGTAACGCTAAAATAATCCTGATTACTTCCCATTTCACTCTAGTTCATAAGTAATATCTATCGCAAAATGTATATTGATTGCCATTCTATGTGTAAAATTTTCTTCATTATTTTCAGTGGTACATAAATTTTCGCAGTAAATTGATCACAACTCTCAAATGCCCTGATAAAGTCGAGAATGAGGAAAGTCTATCTTTCCCCTAGAAATCCTTCAATGTAGTCCCGCCCGATATAGTCACTTTCAGGGAAGTCCTACTCCGCTGTCTTCTTATAGAGCGCGGGGGGAGTTGTTCTTAAAGAAAAGTGAATGTCCGGCCCTTGAACGGGTACAGAAGATCCACCTAAGCGAGTTCAAAAATCCCAATTACAATTCGATGGTGCACACGGGCGACTGAATCATGAGGGAACAAATGGTGCGTGGACCTATTGTTGGCGACCGACTACCATGAGACTGAATCTCTTAACGCTTCTCCATTGCGTTATGTATTAGATATGTAGATGAAAGGGTCGCGAGTGGTTCCTTATGAAAACCATCTGTTTCGGTTCGCAGTAATGAAGACAAGTCGTGCGAATATCCTTCCGCTTCCCACCTTTGTTGTTTTGGCATTAAGTTAGCGAAAAAAACTAAAGGTGGTCAAACCAATTCATGAAAACAGTGAAACTTAGGCTTTGCTATATTAGTAGGTTCTGACTACATGAATGGGTTACGCGTGATAACTGCAATCAGTGATTGGGAACTTTCAGTGTTATGGTTCGGAATCAGTTATAACTACGTTGACGCATTCATTCTTTGCCTCTATTTAGATCATAGGTTCCAAAATCTTTCAGTTTTTCTTCCCAGTTTAATTTGGCTTTGTTACCACTTCTAGTAGTTTGCGACAACTTGAGCTAATGCGTGTATGTATCAGATTCCATGTTGTACACATAACTGATGACTGTCCACCTTTCTTGACAGTTGAATATGTATTTCTTTTCTGTCCTATTGTATTTTATATAAGGACTTCGTAATCCAGTTCGTGTAACTGTGAGTCAACAAACACAAAAAGAGGTAGAATGTGTGGATAATCAAACTTCACAACAACGTATTCCATCTGCACTTCAAAATTTTTATACTGTAAGTTAATACATATTCTATTCATTCCTAGTAAGCCTGGTATTTATCTAAAATATATGTGAAGTTTATCTAATTGCGTAATAACTTAGATACGCGTGATTTGTTTGTGGCGGTTGGCGCTCCTTTAGTGATAGTTCAGAGATTAATTACGACATACGGCACCCGGGTAGCTCTGTGTTTTTATATCCAATAATGACTATCAACAGTCAGCACGAGACTGAGAACACAAAATTATGGTAGTTGTCTCCTTTCAATCTGGGGTGACGCCTGTCTACATACCCGTAACAACACATGAAACTGAAGTGTTCATAATAAAATCCCTCCTCATCTCTCAATAACTCTCTTACTTCCACAACTAACTCTTCTTATAATCCTTCATCGCCTCGCTCTCTGACGCAATGATTCTAGTTCACAAAACGTTATTCCTGATCTCTTGAAACCACAATCTAAACTACATGTTGGAGCTTTTAGTGTTTAGACCTTGTGCCAAATAGGATGGCAGGCTTCCTTTGGAGTCTCGTGCCATTGACGAATGCTGCGTCTCCGAAACGCGCATACAGCATCCAAGTACAGTCATTCATTGGACGAAGCAACTCGTTTCATATGACATGTACTTGGAAGCCCCTCTGCTGCTTCCTGTGACCTCCCTGATGTAGGTATAGCATTGAGTTCTGAAATGGAATTGGCTCTCTTAGACTGAATCCCAATAGTTAGTTGCTTTTGCTCTGTCCGACCAAATGGGGGCAGTAAGAACTTGGAAAAATAGGGACACTCGTCGTCTCTGCTTTTACTCCCACTGATTGGAGAACGGATGAGCTAAAAGATGGATTTTATAGTGAAATTATCAAACCTCATAAATTAATTTGGAACTCAATACGCAAAGACAGTTTATATGATTTGTAATAATATACAGTAAGGAAAGATAAAAGACATTTATCCATTTCATTATGGGGTTGTGGAGATTGTTGAGTAACTTTTCGAAATCATGAATTGATTAGTATTAGACCACCATTAGAAACATGGAAGCACTGAACGGTCTTTTGGTTCTGTTAAGGGACTCCTCAGCAGTGCGCATCTACGACTCCTGCACATTTCAGGATTCTAACCCAGGACCTTCGGTCTTGCACGCGAAGGCCTGACCACTGGACCACTGAGCCTGTAGCTAACTGTGTTAATGTTTAACTTCGATCAATTCACGGTTTTGCGCAACCTCATGCACTGTCTTTGGTGAGCACTGCTTCACACCCGAACAGCGTTGAACTCCACTGGTCATGACTTCTTGCTAGAACTCTGAAAAGATTCCTGATGCAGCTTGTCACTAGTGAGCACAGGTAATTGGATTATGGGGTTTGTGGAAATGGTTGAGTTGTAATGAAATCATGAATCGATCAATGTTAATCCACCGTTAGAAACCTGGAAGCACTGGACGATCGTTTCGTCCTGGCATGGGACTCTTCAGCAATGCGCATCCACGACTCCTGAAAAAGAAGATCATACTCTGTCACTAGAGTCATTAGACTGATCGTAGATTGACGTTAAAGTGAATAAAATCGCCACTTGGATCACGGACCTGATGCTATGATTGTCAATCATGCTGCTAGTACATACTGGTACTACTTAGTTGGATTGTCAGTTCGATTATCGTAAACGCTGTAGTTTGAAAATTTTGTTTGACCTAACTCAAAATCGATTACAACGACACTGATCCATACACTATTTATTAACCATTGCGCTCTGTGTATGTCTAAATTATCATTATTATCTGTATCTTTCAATTTCATAAGTTCATATTTTCTCCTGCTATCGTATTGTCTATGCAGAGTATTTTATACTCTAATCATGATACTACTATTACTATAACTATCAGTAGTAAGTTATCCTGTTGTGCTAATTTGATATGACATGGCTCAAAATCATTTGCAGTGGCTCAGATGCATCCGCTCTTTATGTTCTCCTGAATTCTAATCTTCTGAATTCCTCATCACCTCTTTCTAAATTTATGTCAGCAAATTATGCATCTTGAATCAGATCTTCGAACCTCAATCTTCTCGATTACCGCTAATTCTTCTTCTATCTCTACCATTATGGAATTAGAATTGACAATTCGATTTCTGTATGCTAACGTAGTATGGCAACTTGAATAGATCTACGTGCATGTAGGAAGTTCTACAATGTAGCTGACTAATTGACTGACTGAATTAGGTATGACAACTTGAACCAATCCACATATACTCTCCAGTTTCTACATCGCCAGTGCAAATGATCTACTTATTATTTGTCATAATTTTATTTTTCATATAAACATACTTGTTTTGTGTTTTTATTTAATTTCTAGATTGTTGAACCAGATGAGAAAATTTCTCTTATTCTACGTTTTATTTTAGCGCATAGAAATGAGAAAATTTTAATCTTTTTTGCTACATGCGCATGTGTAGATTATTTCTATTCTATACTCAGAGGACTCCTTTCATTGAAACAATCAAAACGTATACAAAAACTACATGGACAATTAAACAAAAATCGATTTGATCTTTTCAATAAATTTAAAGAAACAGCCAAGTAAGTGAGCATATCTGTTGAATGAATGATAGAAAGATACTACTTATTTACGAATGATAATAATAATAATAACAACACTTGGGATTCAATATTTGCGGTGTTGTTCAATATATGCGTGACAACATTTCTAGTGTACTGTGATCGATTTCACATGTTCATTGTGTTCATTTACATCTTGTTGAGTTGTTTCGTTTAAATGGGCTTGTCGGTATCCCATTGTATAGATGATAATTTTGTAATATCATCCTGACAATTTATTAGTACGATACAAGAACTCGTATCAGGGTGTAATTCTTCATTACCTCTATCTTACTCTTTCTAAAGTTATCTTACCGAATTATACTTCTTGAATAATATCTTCGAACCCTACTTTTCTCGATCACCACTAATATCTCCACTATCTCTGTCACTATGGGATTTGAACAGATAATATCGTCTCTGTGCTAATGTGGTATGGCAACCTGAACTGATGTACTTACGTACGAAGTTCGTGACTGACTAGTATCAGGATGGCTTAGAATTTATATCTGTGTTTCCTAAAAGGTTAATCAGTTGTGATTTGTGCTATATTGAGAATATGTTACAACGAAATAAATAGACAATGAACAGGTTGAGATTTATGTTCTACCATCAAAAATTAATTCAAACTATTTAAAATCTGCTCTGTGAGTTAGTAGGTCTTCGTTTAGGAGAATGATGACGTCGTATGATGAAAGCCGAGTTCTTTCGGAAGTCATGAGGCTCTCTCAAATCCTAATCTTCTGGATTTGTCAGCACCTCTACCTTTGTCTTTCTAACCTTATCTCACTGAGTTATACTTCTTGAATCATATCTTGGCTCCCTAATCTTCTCCATTACTGCTAATACTTCTGCTATCGCTATCACTCTTGAATTTTAACTGACTGTTGCGTCTCTGTGCTGATGTATTATTGGCAACCTGATCTGATGTACTTACGTAGGAAGTTCTGCGTTGCATCTGTCTGTTTGTCTGTCATGAGGCCGATGCCCCTCCTGGCAACCGGAACCGTCCCACAGTGTAGCAGCCGGGAAGTGACAACCTCCCTCTTACCCGTAAAATCATATGAAAGTATTTACAATTGTAAAAAAATATATAATACACTCTTGATAATTAGATTTCAGTTGAAATTACTTAAATTCTGTATCCCCATTATTCTTATTATCTTTAAAAATGGGTCTAAATAGTAAACGGTAACTCTTTTTGGCACTATCATTATTGAAAAAAGCAAAAACGTTCAATGACAGGCAACGCTCAGTCAGTCAGCTACAACATAAAACTTGATACGTATTTACATTAGTTCAAGTTACTTTATCACATTAGCACAGACAGTTCGAATTGTCAATTCAAATCCCATAATAGTAGAGGTAGTAGAAGTATTAATGTTAATCGAAGTGATTAGGGATCGAAGGTTTGATTCAAGAAGTACAATTCAGTGAAATAAATATAAAAACAGAAGAAAAACGGTATGAAGAATTCAGAAGATTAGAATTTGAGAGAAGACGAAGAATGAATGAATGTGGACCATTGCAAACGATTTAGAGCAATGTCGTTCAAAGTCTCAGACCACTGGTTAATATTGTCTCATGGACCCCAACCAGGTAGGCAGTCTACAGCGACTAACATGGCTCAGTCTAGTTGTCAGTGACTTCATAGATTTATGCCATGTTTTTTGATTTGACGGCCCTCAGCTTTCGTCCAACCTATTTCTGCATCACAAAGCATAGCTCAACGAGGCAATTGGTGGCTAGGGATACGTACACATGTCTTAACCACTTCAACTGATGAAGTTTCAATACTTCACCTACTGACCTGCCATCCTTACCTAGCACCCGTTTCTTAGTAAACAGCATTGCTTACTCGATTGCTTTACCATATACGAGCAATGCTTCGTCAGACACCGGGTCATCAGCAGTGATGAGAATATTGAGATAAGTGAAACTTAACAATACTACTCGACTGTTTAAACTGAACTGCATGAAATAGGACTTGGATCTTCAATCCTAGTGGTTGAAATTTCAATATCTTAACCACAAAGTCACTGATTCAATTTATTCAGAATAGTAGTTCTATCTGTAAGCTCATTTGTTATTCTTAGTATATTTAGATTCAAATGGGACGAAAAAACATTTAGTTAAAAAGCAAAATTACTCGATTCTGCTCATGATGTGCAAATAATAATAAAAACTGTGATGGAGTTTCATTCTCTGAGTTGGATGTTTTGGATGTGTAGCATTCATTGCTGTTCTGAACAACAACAACAACAACATTATCAGCACAAACTTCAGATATCAGAAGTGAAGTATTCGAATTTCTTCACGTTTAACCTACGAGTTGTTCTGTTAACAGAGAACGAAACTTCACCCTAATCACATCCACCTGAGCTGCAAATTTTCTCCACTATCTCATAAATAAAAACTGGTGAATTGTATCTTCCAACATCGAAACGTTGCGTAACGATAAATTTTTTTCTGAGTATAACTATAATTATTGAAAAACATTGACTTGTCTAAATGTTATCGAAATATTTGCTGAATATATTTAGTTGTATACTTTGGCTCTAATATACTATATATATATATTTCATAATAGGATTATGGAGATTATTGAGTTTCTTCGGAATTATGAATCGATCATTGTTAGATTACCAGAAGGTAAACCTTAAAGTCGTTAAATGCCTGCTCATTGGTTCAGAAGTTAAGCGTTCACTGGTGAGACCGAAGGTCTTGAGTTCGATTCTTACGGACGGGGATCGTAGATGCGCACTGATGACAAGTACCATACTAGAACGAGACGGTCGCCTTTCAGTGCTTTCAGGTTTCTAATGGTGGCCTAATGATGATCAATTCGTAATTTCAATGATATATATTTACATAGATATATATTACTGAGAAATATATTCTCTCTGATTACAACCACATTACAACTTGCTTCTCAACACTGATTGGGTAATTACTGAAGGTCATTTTTAATGAAGTGGTAATTACTGCAAATGTTATTGGGTTTTATTCTCCAATAGGGGAAATTCTTATTTCGAAATTCTTTTGCAATTAGTTTTTCATCATGGCTGTACATTAATATATATGCATGATTGATCTAGATCAACTTAATATCCTGTGTCCACTCGAATTCTTAATCGCGCTTACTTGTTCTCTGCTCAACCGCGATGGATAATCATCTGCTATACGATGACGGATATTTGGAATTAGACATCCTATATAACTAGTTACAAAGAAACAGTTGCATTGATAAATACACATAGATGTGACAAATTCAGGGAGTCTGTCTTTACTGATGGTGTTTAATATAATGAGCCAATCAGGTGTGGCTAAATTAGAAAGAGGAGGATGGATGCATATCATCGGTCAAGAATTGAACTCACTTTCTAAAGGGGATATATATCTATATTTATATATTTATGTATATTATTCGATAGTCAAATAGTCTCTCTTCCATTCCTGCCTTCTCACTCAAGTAACCAGTTTGGGGGGAGGGAAAGGTTAGCACATATCACATTCAGATGTGAGACACCGCTAATCATAACAGTTTTTCATTATCAAGCGCTAGCATAAAACCATATTCAGTTTGGTTACAGTAAATATTTTCTGCACTACATTTCTTAACTTTCGAGTTTTAATTTCCTTCGTAGCGTCACTTATACATTCTAATTTCACGCACAGTACTTTCTTCGATCTTGTCTCGATTTCATTCATGTGTGTTGTTAATGAATTTTGTTAGATATCCATTCCTACCAAGTAGATTGCAGATATTACTCAATTCACTTCGAATGGTATGATCAGAGTCAGGATTTTTACTAAGTTTGGTACATCACTATAAAAATGAGTATATTGAACATTATACATTATAGGTGTAGGAGTCATAATTATAAACCACTTGAAAAGAAATTCTTATTCGTTTTATTTGCCCTTTTTATTTCCATCTTTCAACAACACTATTAATAGTTTATATCACGTTTTTTTCAAAATTACTCATCTCATTGAGTAACCTGTGAAAAGTCATTCATTGACCTAATGTTACTCCACAATTAATGACACAACGTTGAAATCCCAAAATCCCAGTTTCATTCTATACGGGATTGTCCAGCTGCATTGTGACGTTCAATCAGTCCATGCAAATGAATAATTATTTTAAAATGTAACCTGGAATTTATTGTCTTATTTCTCTCTCTCCCTCTCTCTCTCTATATATATGCATATTTTAGTGGAATCTTATTATGTACTGATGTCATGGCTCGTGGTATAGATATTCCACATATTGACTGGGTGATTCAATGTGATCCGCCAACAAATGCAAAGTAAGTTTTACAATTGATAGTTATTTGTTTTTCTTTCCTGTTCAATCTTCAATATTTGTTTTAAGAAAGAATTAATAGTGTAGTAAACAAAGACGGTTAGATAAAATGGAATGAGCGATTTATTTGAAGAGGGCGCAGTTTACGAGTCAAAATGTGCACACACTTCATCATAAAACATCCTTTCACAAAACAAGTATATTCTTGGCTGTCTTCTGTTAATCTAAACACTCTGATCGCGCCACACATAAGGATTCGAAACTCTTCACGTTGTTCATTTTATTTGGAATTGGTGTACTGGATTTATCTGTATCCCGAAATGGCCACTCACTTCAGAAGTCGAATTCAGTACTGTGTTCTCTTCAAACATCGTCGCTTTATTCGCTTAGCTACTAAGTCTAGATAGCCGCTGGCTGGTTGGTCAATTAAATCTTCCTTTTACTGTTTTGAACTTGTTACGCATGAACGTCAATACGTCATTTGATATGCTTGAACTATTACTAGTTTACCTTAGTCAGAAAACGAGAACGAGGATCCGGCGATACGACAGGCTACTCTAATCTGAGTGTCTCAAACCACCATTGAGTAAAAGAAGAAGACTTGATATGAAGTAGAACATGTATTCTACAAACATCCAGAAAGTACGATGTCCGAGTCTAGAAGAGGATAAGGATCCCAGACTAGGGATCTGGGTCCGGGTCATAAAACGTTACAGATAATGCGTATTTATACAGTTAGGTCGAATAGGAAACAACATTGAAGTATGTGACATTGATAGTTAGGAAGACCATAATATGGAGCAGTAGGAATTAACCAATAGGAATTGATCAATAGAACTAGACTTACAAATAATTCTCTTAGAATATTGGATGAATATCCTAACAGAACTGCAATCGATCAGTCTCATATTTGTCGTATACGCATTCTGTGCGAATTGCCTCGATATTACCATTCAGCCTAATAAGCAGAAATAAAATGGTGGCTAGCAATGGAATTGTTGGGGATGTTAGATCCCCAGAACTCGCTTGATAAATGGCTTATTTTGGATTTCACGTTTGCGAGCATGGGCTGATCAGTTGGCCTTGAGATTTCATTTCCCACCAGGAGATTCCTTGGCTGTGATTGGCTGCTGTGTATTTTAGTGTGCTATTTTCGTAACTGTCCCAACGACGTTTCTATGCTGTATAAATAAACGATAGTTGTATGCTTGATTGTATTGTGATTGCTGGGTGTTTGTAGAATATACTTTCTACGCTTACCAAGACTTCTGTTTTACAGTTTGGTATTCAAGGTAGCCTATCTGGACTCTGGTAATTGTCTCGTTTGCGTTTGTCGATTAAGGTGAACTCGTAATAGCTTCAAGCGTATCAAGTGACGAACATAACAGAAATATAGGATACGCGTTTCGTCTTACTTACAACTCGTTATTATTATTATCGAAAAAAAGCTCTCGATTAAGGCTTCAATATTCCATTTCTGTTACAGTATTACTAATGCCATCATTCAACAAAGTAATATAAAAATGATGAAACTGATTACCACTTATTTTCATATAACTTTCATGCAAATATTAATCTCACTTTATTTATATACTCGTTGAATCTCATTTGAAATTTCAGTGAATTTGTTCATCGTTGTGGTCGAACTGCTAGATGTGGACTTGAAGGCAATGCTTTATTATTTGTTACTCAAGAAGAAGCTGCCTACATCAATTTCTTACATATTAATCAACAAGTATGTAATGTACTTTAAGTGTATTGTAGTTGTTGTGTGATTGATGATCTCTGCCTATAACCCTTCTAGGGTTACTGCCAGTCCCAAGCCACACGGATAAAGGAGGAGGAGGGTTGGGCATGGGGTTAACGGCAACTCAATCCCGTACAAATCTAACTCGATAAAAAAAATCACTAACCAGAAAAATAATTATTTCGTTGGTCGGCAGCCTATGCGACCTCAACCAGGTAGTACACACCTATTAACATGGCTCAGTCTGACTTCATGGATTTATGCCATGTTTTTATTTGGCCTCCCCTAGCTTTCTTCTAGCTTACCCCCACACCACAAAACATAGCTCGACATGACAGTCATTAGTTAGGCATTCGTAAAACATGTCCCAATCACCTCAACTAATGGAGATTCTCTACTTCATTAATTGATGTGCTATCCTACCCTAGTACCCGTTTGCTGACAACAGCATTACTTACCCGGTGGTCCCAGTATATACGAGCAGTGCTTGGAGGACACCTTTGATTAAGTACCAGTAACCTACGAATATTCTCTATTCTTACTGACCAGGATATTCGTTAAAATGATTCAGGCCTATGAAAAATGGTCCTTTGAATTCGAATCGCTTAACCTTTCAAATTATTTTGAAAAATTCATAAATTATATATTGACATGTTATGTTATAACGGGAATCTTGTAAAACCACACAAACATATTTGACTATGCACTAAAAGTCAGTCAGTTACAACGTAGAACTTCATATGTACGTACATCAGTTCAGGTTGTCATACTACATTAGCACAATGCACTTAAATCACTTCATCAAGTCAACATTTGGTATTACTTGCTTTAATCATGATATCTGACTTTCTCTATTGATTTCGGTTTATAATCTATTACGAAATTATGAAATAATAGCTCATCAGCAATGCGCACTCACGAACTCCGCCCGCGCGAATCAAACCCAGTACATATGAATTTATGTAAAAAACCTACTGGACTGCAATCATACAATTCTACACTAATAAGCCAAAATTATCTGTGAATATGACAAAATATAAATAATCATTTGGTTATAAAGTAGGAATGCCAAATAGTTTAATGTTAGTTAATGGGTTAAATAAAAACTCTGAATGAATATACATTAAGAATATAAACAACAATGATTATAATTTGAAAACCAGTCTCAACTTTTACAATAATTATCCCATCGTCGTACTGTTATTCTTACTTACTTACGCCTGTTACCCCCAATGGAGCATAGGCCGCCCACCTGTTTTCTCCAACTAACTCTGTCCTGGGCTTCCCTTTCTAGTTCTTCCCAGTTTTCGTTCATTCTTCTCATGTCTTTCTCTATTTCTCAGCGTAATGTGTTTCTTTGGCCTTCCTCTTTTCCTTTGACTTTGAGGGTTCCATGTGAAGGCTTGTCTTGTGACGTAGTTGGGTGCTTTTCGTAGTGTGTGTCCTATCCACTTCCACTGCTTCTGTGGATAGAGCACAAATTGCTGAAGGCACCCAACTGCGTCACAAGACAAGCCCTCACATGGAAACCTCTTTCTTTGTTTTGAAGGATGCTTTAATGATCCTGGGTCCATGAGATTCCCATCCTATTAGTGCCTTTTGTGCTTGTTTGGACAGCATCAGTGCAACTCCTCGTGTATGTGAAGCATTTTCCTCTTCATGACCAGAGTATAACAGCAGTTTCCCTGAAATTAATCTCAGTTGTCTTACCTGTGTTTAGTGCGTTTCGCTGATTCCAAGCACATCGAGGTTGTTTCTTTTCATTTCTGCCGCAACTTGAAATAGTCTTCCAGTCTCCCACAATGTACGAACGTTCCATGTACCTAAAAGAATGGTTGCTCTGGTTGTGAGAATAGGCATCGGCATCGTGACTTCCGAGGGAACTCGGCTTTCATCACGCGACGTCATAATTCTTCTTCCAACTCCCAGGGCAGAGTTAAAATGTTTTGATTAATTTTTTCTGGTTAGCGTTTTTTTGGCAAGTTAGTTTTTTTGGTGGGATGGGGTCTCCAACCTCATGTCCAATCCCTCCTCCTTTATCCAGGCTTGGGACCGGCAGTAGCCCCGAAGGTTCTACTGGCAGAGTTACTACTATTCTACAGAGATTAATTTTTATTTCTATATACATGTATTTCTTTTTGATAAAAATATATATTAGGTTAATTTATTGCATATGGAACGTGAACAACTCAATGAACATTTAACTGCATTCACTCTAGTTGATTCAGTTGATTCTGTCGCTGAACGAATTCGAAAACTGTCTAAAAAAGATAAGTACGTGTAATTATATTTATTTGGTGTATTTTTTAAACTGTGTTTCTATTAATTTAGCGATGTATTTTTTTTTACACATTGAAATCATCAATTAGTTATTGTTAGACCACCATTAGAAACCTAGAAGCAATGGACGGGCGTTTCGTCCTGATATGAGACGATCTCTGTTTACTAATGTAGTATGGCGACTTGAAATGATGTACGTACGTACAAAGTTCCACGTCGTAACTAACTGACTGATTGATCTGGTATGGGACTCATCAGCAGTGCGGGCATCCGCGACTCCTGTATCTCGCAGGATTCAGACTCAGGACCTTCGGTCTTGTGCACGAAAGCCTAACCTCTGGACCGAAAGTCTGTAGATTGATCAGAGTTAGACATTAACACCGTTGGATGTTGGCGCAGTGTTCCATTTGTTAGGCGTTCGCGCGCAAGACCGAAGGTCCTGAATTCGGATCCTGCGAGGTTCAGGAGTCGTGGATGCGCTGTGCTGATAAGTTCCACACCAGGACGAAACGGCCGTCCAGTGCTTCCAGATTCTTAATGGCGGTCTAACAATGATTGATTGATGATTTCAATGTGTAAAAACACTAATCTCCTAAACTCTAATTGAAAAAAAGATATATTTTTTACTAGAGGAATCCCAGAAGTGCCCTGATACATTCGAGAGTGATAGGTGTCTGCACTCACTCTCTAAATACTCTCACTGGACTACGCTTATATAGCCACTGTTCCCTTTGCCAATCAACATACTTAAAGTTCATTTGATGAGACTGAACTAAGTTGAATCGTCCCTCAGGTTAAGACCAATTATCGAAATTTCGCTCGTTACAGTTTTCAACAGCCGGTAATCACCTACTGAAAGAAATTTGTAATTCCTGCCAAATGCGCTAAAGAGTCCATTGTTTTATAAGTGTTGGTCCATGCAGTGAAGATGTGGACAGACATACCTGTAGATTTACAGCAAGTTCGTTTCGATTCCTTTTCATTTCATAGCTCTAACACTAGCTTAATTCGTCGGCATAGTAAGAACAGTACTTGAATCACCTTAGTTGAGTTGAGCGAAATACAAATGTTAGAAATCGGAGAGTTGAAATATAGACAAAGGGAACAACTATTACATCTTCAGAGAGAGGATTGAAAAGGCTAAAAAAGAACGTGATCTACAAAATATCCTCCGCTTCCGAATGCGATGATAAATACTAGAAATATGCTCATCGGTTTGTTGACCATTCTCATTATGACCACAGAGGCAAGCTTACTCCTGAAAAATCTAGTATGTTGGATTGTTTAGAAAGAAAAAAGATAGAGGTAGCTGTTTTATCTATTAGTATGAGTCTTGAGCTTTCGAAAGTAGAACCGTCTACTTCCAATGGATTGTATGTTGTTTCACAGGTTGAGGATGGTGGTCAGTGACTTTTATTCTTGATATATTTTTGTGAAGGAAAAGCCCGAGAGGTTACAAAAGAATATTCTATGCTTATGTCATCACCTGGTTATCTTAGAGCATGTGATATACTGAAAGGATTGTTTGGAAGGACACATGAAATTGGCTTAGCTTTTGTGAAAGGTTGGAACTTGAACACAACAAATGGAATGAGTACTCGACAATAGCGATAACAGTAATATATATAATCGTGAAAATTATTTATTGTGATTTAGACGTGACAAGATCTTTCAAAATTATCAGATTGTATATATCGATTTATTTATTTATTTATTCCAAAGACTATTACATGAGAAAGCAATACGTGCATTTGTTTCCTATGTTCAATTTTATCGAAAACATGAATGTAATTTACTACTGAATTATAAAAGTAAGTAGTTTGTGTATAAACTGATTATGATGATGATCAATAATAAGAATGTTATTCTTTAAAAACAAATAATCACACATTGATTAGACTTGCAATTTTAGTTTGCTTTTCGCATTATCATCATCTTGATTATTTCTAGACTGCATACAGACTTAATGTTCACTTACATGATATCCGTGTGGAACGGTGGAGTAGTGAATAAGGCAAAATCGACTCTTTGTCTCTTGGTCCTAGGTTTGAACATTGCTTTGCCTATTTTGGTTTAGGTAACCGGACAGTATAGAAGTTTAGATATTTGTAGAGACTTTTTTATGTTCTTACTTCTCGAATAATTTTCTTTGAACTATAATCATCTCCATTATCACTAATACTTCTACTACAAGCTAAAGGCGGCCAAAAAACATGGCAGAAATCCATAGTCACTCACAAGTGAACTGAATCATTTTGGTAGATGTAGACTACTTGGTTGGGGCCCGCAAGATGATAGTAATCGATGGTTAAAGACTTTGGGCAATATGGCTCAAAATCGTTTGCGATGGCGCAGATTCATGCACTTTTTGTGTTATCTCAAATCCTAACCTTCAGATTTCCTCGTCACTTTATCTTCTTCTTTTTAAGTTTATTTCAATGGATTCTACTTCTTGAATAATATCTTTGATTCCTAATCTCTCCGATTACTGCTTATACCTGTACTACCTCTACTACTATGGGATTTGAATTGACAATTCTATCACTCTGTGCTAATGTGGTATGGCAACCGTAACTGTTGTAATCATTTACGAAGTTCCACGTTGCAACTGACTGACTAACTTATTCGTTCATCGTGAAGCAGACAAAGTAATAATTAGTCAGTAGATAAAACTCATACGTTGTAACTGAATGACTGACTTCTACTACATCTACTACTGTAGGATTTAAATCGAAAATTCGATATCTCTGTGCTTATATGGTATGTAGACTTGGACTGGTGTCTAACCACCAAATACCTTGACAAGTGATGTTGTCTGATGTAGGGGTGGGCTGGAAGAAAGTTAAGGACGCTCAAACCAAAACATGGTACAAATCTATCAAGTCACTGACAGCTGGAGTGAGCTATACAATTAGGTTTAGACTGCTTACCTGATTGAGATTTGCGAGACGATAGTAACCGGCAGTTAGTGACTTTGATTGAAATGGCTCACAATCATTTGCAATGGTGCAGGTGCATCCACTCTTTGTATTCTCTCAAACTGTAATCTTCTGAATTCCTCATCCCCTTTATCTTTCTCTTTTTAAACGGGATTATACTTCTTGAATAATATCATCGAACCCTAATCTTCCCAATTACCGAAAATACTTCTACTACATCTACCAATATGAAATTTAAATCCCGACTTCAACAGACGTACGAATTTCGCCGTTGTAGCTGTTGTTATTTTGTTTCTCATGGTGACATTTTTTATTCAGCCCTCACATTGAATTGCCTCTATGATATTAATTTCCTTTTTTTTCTTTGTTTCATTTTACTTGTTTGCTTAGAATTAGATTATGGTCGATTGGCGAATGGTTTCGGACTATTAAAACTTCCATTTATGCCAGAATTACGAACTGGTAATGTTAGTGCATTTAATCCATCCAATGTAAATATATCCAAATTAACATATCGGTATGTTTCACCGCGTTGTTTACTTTATCTCTTTTGTTGTGTTGTACGGTCGTCCCCGTGTCTTGATACTAAATACATACACTTCTTATACACACTAGCTCAACCATTTGCTTTAGTGTGAAAAATCAGTCAGTAGGATTTTATTTTACTTGATTGACCCGAATTAACGTTGGGGATAAAAACCCACTTTTTAGTATAGATACGTACTTTGTAAAATAAAGTCAGATATTCAACCAGTCACTTTCGTGT